TTGTCCCAAGTTTTTATGGACCTCATAAAAATAGCCTCAAAATACATTAAAAACATTTGCAAATTCCCCCTTTGGAGTGAGCGATATATAAAAATACAAATTTCTAATAGGTAATACATTTCTGTGGTTCAAAACTCAGAAAATAGAAGAGGCACACAGTTAAGTCTCCCTCTCATCCTTTCATTTGCCTACTTATCACATCACTTCCTTCCCTTCAACCGTAGTCTTTTAGTTTCATTTTTATTAAGAGTTTCTTTGCATAGAGAAACAATATAAAAGTCGTATTTTCTCTTTTTTTTAAATTTTTTTAAAATGCTTTATTTATTTCTAGGAGAGAGAGAGAGAGAGACAGCGTGAGCAGAGGAGGGTCAGAGAGAGAGGGAGACACAGAATCTGAAGCAGGCTCCAGGCTCTAAGCTGGCAGTCATCACAGAGCCTGACGTGGGGCTCGAACCCATGAACCGCGAGATCATGACCTAAGCGAAAGTCGGATGCTTAACCGACTTAGCCACCCAGGCGCCCCGTATTTTCTCTTTTTAAAACAAGAAAGGTAGCATATTTACTGTTCTGCATCTTGATTATTTCACTTAATGTGTCTTCAGATTAGAGAGGACCTCGGCATTCTTGATCACCACTGTCCTGCATTCTGCTATGCAGATCAGCTTAACCAGCCAGTCCTGTATTGATAGACATTGCAGTGATTTCCAGACTTTTGCTATTGCAAGTAATGCTGCCATGAATAACCTGTTATATACATCCTTTTGCATGTTTACAAGTATATTAGGTAGGATTAATTGCCAAAGGTGGAATTACTGGATTAAAATTTAGCACATGCATTTGTAATTGTGATAGATATTGCCAAGTAGCTTTCTGTAGGGGCTATATTAATTTCCATTCCGCAATGACTGAGTGAGAGTGATTCTATTCCTACACAGCAGAATATTAGCATATTCTTAGATTTTTGCCAGTCTGATAGGTGATAAGTGGCATTCTCATTTTAAAATTCTCATTTTAATTTTGTTTTCTTATGAGTGAGACTGAACAATATTTCATACACTTTAAGAGCTATTTCTATTGTCTCTTAACTGTTCTACTCTTTGTCCATTCTTTTTTTTTTTAACATTTATTTATTTTTGAGAGACCAAGAGAGACATGTCATGAGCATGGGTGGGGCAGAGAGAGAGAAGAACACACAGAATCGGAAGCAGGCTCTGTGCCTGACACAGGGCTCGAACCCACAAACTGTGAGATCATGACTTGAGCCGAAGTTGGACGCTCAGCCGACTAAGCCACCCAGGTGCCCCTCCTTTGTCCATTCTTTATTGGGCTGTGCCAGTGGTGTGCTAGACCTGTCTTCAACTAGTTCATGAGAGCCAATTGTTAAATTTCCAGGCATTTTGTAATCTATTTGATTTCATGTCAGTAGCCTGAAATTGGCCATGGTGGGAATGTTTATACCAGGGAAATTGGAAAACACAAATCGGCAGGAACCCTCTCCCACAACCAGTATTAAACATTTACCAGCACACTACTGGTTTGTAGACTTCTTATTGATTCCTAGCAACTTTTTATATGCTCAAAAATTAACCCTTTGTGATATAAGTGGCAAATAATTTTTCCCAGTTTGTCATTTAACTTTTTCATCATTTTCTTCTTGTCATGTTGAGGTTTTACAAAAAATTAAGTAGTCAAATTTATCTAGCTTTGCTTCTAATGGCTTTTAATTTTAAGTCCTAGCTATAATGGACTTTTCCATGCAAGTTACAAAGGATTTCTCCCATGTTTTCTTTTAGAAATTTTAGGGTTTCATGTTTTATATTTTAATCTTAGGTTCATTTGCTATTTTTCTTAGTGTGAAATATGGATCCAACTTATTTTTCCAAAGCAAAAAATTAGCAAATAAGATCTAGTAATGTATTTTTTTAAAGCAACATATTATGTTGAACTACATCTCATTCCTTATGGAATGAAGCAAAAGCAGTACTTAGAGGAATATTCATAACCTTAAGGTTATATTAGAAGAGAGACTGAATTAGGAGTTTGTTTCCAATTTGTTAGGAAAAGAACAGAATAATCCCAAAGGAGAGTAGGAAGGAAATAATAAAGAATACAAGTTAATGAAATAGGAGTTAAACATTCACTTGACAGGATAAGAAAATGCAAATCGGAAGCAACATTGGAGAATCCCCGTCTTCCATAAACTCTGAGAAGAAACAGTGGAAATTCTTCCCTCATTGGTTTAATGTAGCTGGCATAGCCTTCATACTAAAGCAGAGAAGGTACAGTCAGGACGTTTTGTGTATATAAGTATGTACATCGTGAGTGTGAGGGTTTAGCTCAGTTTTCAGAGCTTAGAAATTTCCTGGTGGAGCTCAGCACAGTTAGGAGAATCCTTTTTATCTCAGAAGATGCAGAGAAGCATCAAAAAATAACATTTTGGCAAATTCTTACAAATCAGGAATAGAAAGGAGTTTTCTTAGCTTGTTGAAATATCATACTTTCTGTGAAATTCCAGAATTCTCCTTTTTTAAAAAATGTGGTTTAAAGCAACAACTTGAACCCATGTAGGTGTGGACTACATGTCCTAAGACCGTGGGATACAGGCAGAGAAATGGTGGGGTAGAGTTTGAAGGGAAAAAACTGAAGTCTTATTTGTAGATGGTGTTCTATTTAGATAACCCCGAATAATCTACGTACAAGTTAGTAGAATTAACGAAAGTTTAGCAGGGTTCCCAGAATTAAGATTCAAATATAAAGATTAATTCACATTTGTCAAGAAGTTAGAAAATGTAACTTAATAATGTATTTATGTGTCATAAAAATAAGGCATCTTTGAATAAGTCTGTAAAAATTGAGTAAGACTTTAAAGAGAGATAAGAAACAAGAAGACCAGTCCACACATGTATTTAAGTACTTTGTAAATGACAGAGACAGCTTTGTATGTCAGTAGGAAAGTTTATTTGGACACTGGATAGTCCTTGGAAAAAATAAAATGGATCTGTTCTTTACCTCCTACAGAAAAATCAATTCCATAAGTGACCTCACAAATGTTGAGCAAAACAGTGAGTTTTGGAAAATACGTACCCTATGATATAATTAAAAGCATTTAAAATAAATAAAATGATGCCATCTGTTGCTTGGTTAGGCAACTCGCTGTATTAAAGGTTTAAAGAAATGCGAGAGGGTGATGAATGCTAGGTTTAGGATCAGGGTGACCAAATGTTGGGAGAAGGTAGAGGGTACAGAGACATTAGCAAAGATTTTTATTTTCTAAGCTGAATGAGTATGGATGTTCACTTAAAATATCTTTTTGTGACCCAAATATTTTATAGTAAATTTGAAATAGGAAGTGAGATTCAGTTGGTTTTCATATTCACTTTGCCTTGGTGATCACCTTGATTCAGCATGGTGACTTCCTTAGGGATATAAAATGTCCTCACCTGTAGGTCAGCCAGCCAGGTGGCCTGCCAGGCACAGGTAGCTAAACTAGTGGTGTGACCTTGGACAGATTAATTACTCCCCATTTCTCTGTTTCCTCATCTGTAAAATGGGAATAATTATATGTTCTTACGAGGGTAGACAGCTCTTAATATAGCACCATATAGCTCTTAGTACAGTTCCTAGAATGTGTGTTTTTACTTAAACTGCTGTTAAAAGCCATTGATTCTTTCTAGTTTCAACTTTTTTTCCTTAATGTAGTACTTTCATTGCTCCTTACCTCCCTTTTTTGAACTTTGTTCAAGCCCTAGGATTTGTTTTTGTGTATTTTCTGCCAGCTTTCTCCGACAGTGAGGTGGAAGTGGTTTTGAACAAGGTGAGATGTCAGTGTGAGCTCCACTGGCTTGGGTTTTCCCTGGCAGACTGCTGTTCTCACTGAATTACAGCAGGAGAGGGAGCCTGGACGCCCGCTGAAACCAAGAAGCCTGGAATTTTCAAAAGTTTAATCAATCCCAATCTCTAAGTCTGACCATCAACAATTTTGCATTTCTCAATTCATTTTTGTTTTTACGATTTCATGGTTTAATAACGGGAGTTAACAGATTGCTTTACTTACAGTGGCAAACTTCTAAATGCCTGTGACATTGCATTATTTTTAGGTGGTTTCTCTAGGCACTCCTAATACTGATTCTACCCGCATCTTTAGCAGCCTTGAAACTTGTTGACATACATGCTTTAAAATAGAGGTTTAATGCTGCATATCAAAACATATTTATTCTCCAGGGTGCTGTAGCTTTTGTTGATTGCTGAGGTTTTTTTTTTTTTTTTTTTAATTTTTAATGTTTTTATTTATTTCTAGGAGAGAGAGAGAGAGACAGAGAGAGACAGCGTGAGCAGGGGAGGGTCAGAGAGAGAGGGAGTCACAGACTCTGAAACAGGCTCCAGGCTCTGAGCTGGTAGTCAGCACAGAGCCTGACGTGGGGCTCGAACCCACAAACCACGAGACCATGACCTAAGTGAAAGTCGGACGCTTAACCGACTAAGCCACCCAGGTGCCCCATGTTGATTGCTGAGTTTTAAGGGTTGGGTTGGGTTGGGTTTGGTTTGGTTTGTTTTTTTTGGGTTTTTTTTTTGCATTTATTCTTTTTTCTGTAGTATTTTTCTTCAGATGATAGCTAATATTTTCTGCTTTTAGAAATTTGATGGATTTGTAGATAAGAAAACAGAAAATGTCACGTGTGAAAAATTGAGGGGAAAAATCCTCAAATAGCTGTCATCTTGTCACCTGAAAATAGAATATGCTGGAATCACTGAAACAGAATCACCTTCCAGGTTCATGACTTACTCTCAGGAGTTACGAACGTATCTGTAGGACTTGCATACGCAGGTCGAATACACGGGTGTGCACACAGGGAAATGGGTCAGGACCGCATGTGAGGAAGACCGGCGCCCCCTGCAGGTGGCCCAGTCAGTGCCTCTTGTCCGTGGTGCGGGTTGTGTTCTTGAGTAGGTGACACTGATTGGAAACATTATGGAAACTCCGTCTTTGCTGCATCCCCCAGGTCGGATCCGCACGAGACGACAGAGCTCCGGGAGCGCCACCAACGTCGCCACCACACCCGATAATCGAGGCCGCAGTCGCGCCAAAGTGGTTTCACAGTCCCAGCGTAAGAAGTATATTTTGTACTCTCTGTTGTCAGTTTTGTTCAACCAGCTCATTCTGCAGTTGAAATATTTATAATACTTTCAAGAGAAAACCACATCTGTGTGGCTCTAAGGTACCGTGAGTAGTCCCGGTGTTTGTTGGGTAAGCTTACAAAATGGAGTATTCGAGTGTACTTTTGTCTCCTTGCCAGGTGGCTTAAATTTGGTATTCTGAAGCATTAATGATTAATGATAAAAATGTGGTTTCTCTGCCTTTCCTCAAGCATCTCAAATTGAGACAAATCTGGGCTATGACCCATTTTACTGTCAATAAGGACTCCCTCTGACATAATTTAAGAGCAGTACCTGGGGATTATTTTAACGTGGAGTTCTCGTTCGAGTGGTAGTAAGCAATCCACTGACAGCTGTCCCCCTCAACCCTCTGTTCTAACGCAGCCTGCTCCTCTCGTCTGCCAGTGTGGGCTCCCGCTCTGCCCAGCTGCCCTCGCTTCCATTACTGCTCGTCTGTACGTGTCGAGTCGCTTGGCTTGTTGGCTTTGGCCACGAAAGCAGCTGTAGATGGAAGGAATGTATTCAGATGGCTCTTAGGAACCACCCTGGGTCTCCCTCCCCGGCCACACTTGACTTCTGAGTCTCCTGCCCCCTCTGTGCGCATGTAGAGTAGTGCTGAGGGCCCAATCTCTCCTGGGCAGGATGAGTGTGGTGAGAAGGGTCCCCCTTCCCCGGGAGCTGCATGCGGGCCCTCAGCACAGCACTCTCCAGGGACCCGTGTCTGCCTCCCTCATGGCCCAGGAGCTGTCTGCTTGTGTCAACAATATTCTGTCTGTGGCCAAATGTTGGGTTCTTCTTAGTATCTAGAATGCCTTTCTCAGCTCCTTGTGAATACTCCTGTGTCCCTCTGGTAACTCCAGGCCTCACGTTAAACAAGTGCATCTGCTTTCTGAAAGAGAGTGGAACATTAGTCATACTTTCCTGCCAGGCTTGTCTGGGGCAGACGCCCGGGCATCTAGCGGATCACAGTATCCGGCACGACATGGTTGTACAGCTGTGGCCTGGCGGGTGCCAGCTGGGAAACTGTATCCAGGCTCTGCTTATCCTCTTGAACCCCAGTGGTGCCTGGAGTCACAGATGGATCTCATACTCCGCTCATGAGTCAGGTCTTCTTGCAGAGAAATGTCTCTTGACAAAAGATATTCAAGACTCAATACCAAGTTAGTATGTTAAGATTGAATTTAATAAAATATGTTTAGTCCTTTAGCTATGACGTGTTATTTCCTTTCTTGGAGAGTGAGGTTAAATAGTACTTTACATTTCTTAATGTCTGCCACTATTGGCATCGGCCTCTGCGGGGATCCCTGCCCCAGCCTGGCTGCTCTGCTTAGCAGGTGGTGAAGACTGCATTCTGGCAGAGAGCTTTTCCATAGTCTCTATGATTAGAGCTTCACTTCCTCAGTCTCTTAGAAGTACTGCACCCTCTCTTGGGGCTCCACTTTAAAAGTCTTCAGTTTTATTTTACTCACCAAATTCCACTCCTAGGAAGGGAGACAACACCAGCAAATGACCAAGGCTGGACCTCAAACTTAGTCATATAAATTAAGTGTTTTTTTAATAGTTATTTTAATAGGAAGCAAATATGAGCATATTTATATGTTTTACAAATGTGGAAATGCTAGCAGCCATAGTATAATAGTACATCCATATATATCGATAGTGTTAATAGTAGATTTCATTAACATTAGATTTAGGTCCCTTACGAGTTAGCAAGCATATTTTAAATATGTGAGGACTTAAATATGTGAAGGTTAATATGTCAGTATTTGAAGATTTGGCATAGGACATTCAGGTGAAACTAGTCAATAGCAGTTTCTTTGACTTCATTGAAGTTTGTTGAGCGCTTCCTGTGTGGGAGGCAGCACCCTTTAAGGTGACGGTGATGTATAAACAGGTAGAATGCCGTCACTTCTCTCAGGTTGCTTAGAATGAGAGAGTAGATGTGCTTCTGGAGGTCTTCTCTGCGTCTCCTGCGCCTAGCACATTGTGAGTTCACAAATGTTACATGGACAGAACTGAAGTCAGTGCTAATAGACTGTGTTACGAAGAAAATCAGCGTAAGTACAAAAGTGCACGAAAGGAAAAAGACCTAGAAGAAATAGCTACTTTGTTAATGTGTTTGTGAACAAAGACATTCGTGTTGTGTTGCATGCTGACCTTCTGTATTGTGCTATTGTCTTTTAATCCACTTTTTGCCTGTCCTTTGGTCTGCTCTCATAATCAAGGATCCAGATCTGCTAATCCTGCTGGTGGTAAGCCATTTCTCTTCTTGCTTTTTTTTTTTTTTTTTTAAGCATTGTCCCTCACCCCATGTTTCTTGCACCATGTTAATTTCTCTCTCTATTATGAGCTTAGATAATCTTTCTGCATTTTTTTCTGTTATGTTCAAATTCTAGTGTTTGAAATGGGTTTTTCTCTTTTTACAAAGTTTAGTAAGTTATTTATGTGCTCAAAGTTTATGGGCAAGATTAATAAGTCCTAAGACAGGTTCTTCATGGTGATGTGTACTGGTGATTTTTATAATGAGTCTCACTATAAATTGTAGCTAAGTCATTATAAAGTCCTAATTTTGTGATTAGTCACCTTAGTGACTCATTTGAATGATGGAGTATGTGTGTGTATGTTGAATTTCCAGGCTGTGTTCCTTTTAAGGCTTTTACCTCTGGGTCACTTCTGTTCTGATACATAATAACATGCACTCTATGTTTGAGAATTTTATGGCCATCTCTACTTAAGGAGAGTGGCCTATCTAAGTAAATGACTGTCATTTTGGTATGTCGATACAGTCTTTAAAATTTCACTGTTTTCTTTAAGAAAGAATTTTGTCTCATGAGAAATGGTTATATAGCTATCCAGCCACTTAGTCATTTATAAAAATTACTAACTGTATTGTTTGTTTTTAATTTCTAATTCTCTTGCATACATCTCAGGGGATGTGGTTCATATAATTTCTACTTTTGCAGACTTCTGGAATTACCTATAAAGCTTAGTACACAGCCAGTTTTTGTAATATGCATGGAAAGGTGGTATCTTCTGTTTGTTGGGATATACACATGTGTGTGGGACATATGTTTATACATTTCTGTATCATGTTAACTGCCCTGTCTATTTCAGAGAGGTGTATTAGTTATTAGTTTCATTAGTTATTATCTTTCTTAGAGGTACATTAATAATTATGGTTTTCCCAGTTTCTTTCTATATTTTTATCAGTTTTATGTTTCATATTTCAAAGCTATGTTATTTGGAACGAAAGGGTTCACGACAGTTTTATCTTTATGGACAATTATTCTTTTATCAGTGTGAAGTATCCTTTGTCCTTTTTTAATCCTGTTTTATTCTATTTTGTTGTTTTGTATTAGGTATGTTGTTTGTTTCTTACTAACAGATTGTAGTTGAATTTCATTTTATTTTTTTAAATCAATCCAAGAATCTCTGATATTTTAATAGATGAATTTAATCCAGCCACATTTATTTTGATTACTGACAGATTTGAGTTTATTCCTACCATTTTATTTGTGATTTTTATTTACCATGTTTCTAGTTACCTCATCTTCATGCCCTCTTTCTTCCATTTATTAAACTAATGGAGTGTTCTTGGATCTGTTTTTTTCCCACTAATGTTTAAGAACCTTCTTATACAATTTTCGCAGTTATACTTAAAATTTTCAGCATATCAGCGCTTACAGAATAAAAAAGCCAAACAATAAGAAAAAACACCTTTGTGATTATCTGTAGAAATTTGCTGCGGAACAGGGAACTGTTCGTACTCAGCTTGCTCTTTTGAATCAGAAATCTTGCTGTCATTTTTCTAGAATTCCACCAGTAATTCTTCTTTGTATAAACATATTCTTATGTTATTTGAAGTTCTTTTATGCTCCTGCACTTAAGGAAAAAAAAATTCATACTACCACCAACAAAAAAGCCATTTCTTATGAAATTCTTGGTATCTGATCCAAATTAATGTATAAACTGACTTCTGAAATTATTATAGTTTATTCCTTGATTTACGTCCATTTTTCAGTTTTGTTTTGTTTCATTTTTAGCTGGCAGCCGGTCAAGTTCCCCCGGAAAATTGTTGGGAAGTGGCTATGGCAGCCTTGCTGGGGGCTCCTCGAGAGGCCCGCCCGTGACTCCCTCTTCAGAGAAACGAAGCAAAATCCCCAGGAGTCAGGGATGCAGCCGAGAAACAAGTCCAAACCGGATAGGATTAGGTAAGGATCCTCAAAGACCTTGAAATATCATTCCCAACTTGGTCATCATTTGTATTATGAACTAAAGACTTTGTCTAATGTTGGAAGTAGAGATTTATTTTTGAATTGAGGGTGTCACTTTGCCTGTGTAAAGAAGACATTCTGATTTGTGCTTTTTACAGATTATGGCCTGTTCAGGTTTGAATTACAACTGACAAACACTTGGGCCTCACCATTCAGATTGATGGGAAAGAATTACATCACTGTGGGCTTTTGTCCCTGAGAGCCCTGTCACAAAATGTTAGAACTGGGGGAGTGGGCAGGGCTGTTCTCTTCACTGTTAGGAGCATTATTGCTTCTCATCCTTTTTTTCATGGATTAGCACTAAGTAACCATTAGTCTACGTATGTTTCCAAAAGCAATTTGTAGTGTCTACATTTATTTTGATTTTGATCTTTAACCTGTTTGGTGGAATTTACAGTCAAAAGAACATGTGTGTTTACTTTTGATGTAGTATTGGTCAAACATGAAAACTAGGAATAATTAAAACCAAATGTTTGATACTTTTGTGTTATAGTATTTAGTTCCTTTGTGACAGAGCGTAGAATTAAATGAATTACTCTTAGCACCTTAGAGACCTGTTATGCTATTCAAATCTAAATTATACACTCCCTATTTAAAGAAGTCTTCTGTAGTATATTATGAGAAATCTATGTTCATACTCTCTCTTATATTTCCACCTGTTTTCTAAGGATAAAAATCTATTACTGTGAAATCAGAGGACTGCTGTATTCTTAACTCCTATTGGCTTATCTTTCTCATTTATTTACTTATCTCGTCAACAACTTTCACTGGAATGTTTCCTGTGATGTACCAGGCAGTTTATTAAACCTTAGGATCAGAAGAGAATATAGATGTAGCTTCTGATTTCGAAGAACTTGTGGTCTTAGGGTGGAAACATGAGACAGTACAATAGATACTGTGACATAGTGCTCTGGGGCCACAGAAACGGCGGGGCTTAGGGTCCTTGTCTGCCCCACTCCTCCCAGATTGCCTGCTAGGAGGGGCTTCCCAGAATAGGTTGTTTTGATGGTGTGTGAGGTAGGATTGGTGGGGACAGAGACGGGGAGAAGGGTGTTCTCGGGCAGACAGGAGCATGTGCCGGAACAGTGAGATGGGAGGGAGCAGAATGTGCTGTGGGAAAGCCCAGGTCGTTCATTTGGCTGCAGCAAAGGAAGTTGGTCAGGGGGAGGCAGAAGGAGTGAAGGTGGACTGGGAGGGTCGGGCTCACCATAGTCCCTACAGGCCGCCTGGGCTACGAGGAGGCAGGGACACATAATGAAGAAGTGGATTGGGGAGGAGTTGGTTTGACTACCATTTCCAAAGCAAATTTGAAACGTATTCAAGCAGAGGTTTTGTTCATTGTACACGATCCCAGCATCTGTTGGCGTTACATGGCGTGGTCCCTGAGCTGACAGATTATCTGGATCCAATAATAAGTCATGTGGATACAACCAGAGGAAATGCCGTGACTGGAATGCCTACATTTCAGATTAGAGGCTGTAACATGGATGTTTGGATCTAGTTTTGTTTGGAAAATGCATTTGATTTCATATCTGGTGGTGAGGTTTTGGCTGTCCTTCTTCAGTAGTTAATTACATGGATAGAACACCTTTTGGTAATCCAGATTGGTTTCATCCTGTTAAAACTGTTTTTCTTTTTTGGGATTTTACTTTGCATATTATTAAAGATGCCATTTTTACCTTCTTGAAATTGGAAAAGAAACCACCTGAGGTTGTTTAACATGCCTCCAGGATCTGGTATTCCACGGTTTTAACTATGAATTTTGTGTTGTGGATCGTTGAAAAGAGAGCACTTTAATAAGCATTTACAAGAGGTTCTATGGAGCATCATCCATCAGTAAAAACTAAATAGGAACCTATTCTCTTCCAAAGAGTTCCTAATTTGAAACAATATTTTGAAGAAAGTTATCTCCTTCATGCTCATTAAGGGGAATAGTTATGTGTAAAGGTTAGAGATCATATATACAATTCTGATTTAAAAAGGCATTTTATTGAAATTTCTGTACATGGTGAGAATATACATCAAAAAAGATAGATAAATGAGTACATCTTTCCACTTCTTCCTATTATAAAATTTTATTTTATATTTTTAAAAATTTATTTCTGAGAGAGAGAGACAGAGAGAGAGACAGCATGAGCAGGGGAGGGTCAGAGAGAGAGGGAGATACAGAATCTGAAACAGGCTCCAGGCTCTGAGCTAGCTGTCATCACAGAGCCCGATGAGGGGCTCAAACCCACGAATTGTGAGATCATGACCTGAGCCAAAGTCGGACGCTTAACCGACTGAGCCGCCCAGGTGCCCCATCCACTTCTTCCTATAGTACTGCGGAGAGATTTCATTTTATAGGGTGTCGGATATATTAGCATCTTTAGCGGTAGATTGTCCACTGCTGTGATCATTTAGTCAATCTGGGGATATATGCCTGTGTGTCTATAAACACTTGATTCATTGTATAGCAACTTTAAATATAAATATTTAAAGGAAAAGGGTAAGCATCTTTCAAGAATATTTCCTTTTGTGCCTAATAAAATTAAAACTAATAGTTTTAATCGTTGCTAAACTAGGCTTGGAATTTGCGCTGAGAATTAATTCTACAAATTATCTACAAATTATGTTTAGTTCAGCTATGTTTCATCTGTGATAAAAATGACACCAAAGATGATCTTCTTCTTTAGCATTTAAGGTTTCTTAAGCAAAACAAAATGCGATTCCTGTTATATAACCAAGAAACAGAACAAAACCCTGCTACTCTCTTCTCTTGGCAATTTATTGCTTCATAAACTGTTCAGCCAAGTAGAATAGATTGTAAATTGTTTCATCTTGGAGTTTTACTCTGTTTTTGATGAATAAAAAGCCATATAAATAGGTAATATAGCAATTACATTTTGGAAGCTTAGTTTCCTTCTTCCACTCGGCTCTTCAGGCTATAAAAACTTTTTATTTTTGGCAGCTTACATTCTGTGGATATTCATTTAAAATGTTTTCAGATTTTCTAGTTAAAAATATTTTGAAAAAAAGCAAAAATTAATAGTAGTCAGTGTCCTCTGTTAAATGAGAATCCTGTGTGCAAGACCAAAACCTGAAAGTATCAGACCGTAGACCTACTTCAGGGTAGTTCTCATTATTCCTCTTGGACTTCTGCTTTTGATAGGAGTTCTGGTAGGACCCATCCCTGCCTTAAAAGGCAAAAGTCAGGATTCCCTTAAAACTCTACAGAAGTATAGCGTGTCTCAAGAAATGAAAGCCGGTCAGACTTTCCTGTAAGCACAGCACCGCAGAACCAGCTAAGGACACCGCTTTCAGAAAGTCACACAGCAGGCGTGTCTTCATTATGTCTTCCTCTTCTGTTAGGCCCTCCCATTCCATATTCTCCTGGAGAACAGTTTTGGCACTCCTGGATGAGGTTGATTGGATACCTGTGTTTTAGCTTTGACCGCTTAATGAATTAGTCTTTATAAAAGTCATCCATGGATATACTTCTTAAAACCCTCTTTGGAGAGTGGTCCTTGGAAGTGGTATTAGAAGTGGGTTTTACTCCTCTTGTGTTTTAAATTGTCCAGCATTTGAACTCTTGCTGTCACCACTGATACCCTTTAAGGAGGCTTTGGTCAACTGTGGGCAGATGTCTGGAAAATCATAAACAGGATTCTTTCTCTCTCTGTTACTACTAGCCTGTGTGAAAGAAGCCAGTCAGCATGAATGGGTGACTAAGCTTTCTCTGGCTGAAATAGTAGGAGGGTAAACCTTGTTAAGTGTTATGCATATTGTTGTTTCAGATCATGCCTGCTTATCCCTTTTCATGCTCTTTTTTGCCTTCACAAAGCAGGCTGGGCTTGGGAGAGAGCAGAGATCTCCCATTGTTCGAGTGTGTGCATTAGTTTAAGGAAGGAAGTGGACGCAGGATAACGGTCAGAAGTAGTCAGTCAAGAACCATAAGAAAATGCTCAACTTAAGTATGTGCATGTGTGAAACACGATCAGGACTGTTTTTATTATTTCTGATCATTTGTTTTGGAGTGGGTAGTGGAATAAGATAACATTTTCATTATGCCTTTCAGCAAGGAACTCAGAGGTACTCACGTATGTACTACCTTATGTCACAATTCTCTTCTCGTTTAGATGGTGGGACTCTGTCTTCCAACATTCCTAAGGGGGAGGCCGAGACACGAAAGGCAAAGTGCCTTTGTCTCCTGACCTGGGAGGTCATTTCACAAGTTGGATGTGGTATTGACTCTCTGAGGGATAAGCAGTGTTTCTTCCTAGTTTCTAGGTGACTTCTCCTGTGTTGGTATCAGTGGGTGTGCCCTTGTTTTTTGAGGGTTTTAAAATTCAGGCCATGTGCTTCCGCCCTCATCATAGGAGCTGTTTAGAATTATCATGAAGAACTTGTTGACTCACTAGTACCTGCTACTCTGACTGAAACTCCTACCTCCATGTCACTGTGCAAAATGAAGGAGACTGTAGGAGTCACTAGCCAGTCCCACACTAAGCCCATCTTGATTGATTGCTCTGATTGCGTTCCTGTGCTTGGTTTTCCCTCGCTTGCCAGCGCAGACCGAGGACGTCGCCAAGGACTCGGGCGGCTCTTACGTAACTGCAGGGCCAGACTGAGCTCTAGCACTGAGCAGAGACCGCAGCGGGAGCTGGCTTGACCTCTCACTTCCGGGTTCTTCTTTGTCAGGGAATTTAATGATTCTGGCGTGTAAGACATTCTTGTTATAGTTTGCTAGGGGAGTAGCCCTGAAATCGTAGGCCATGCCCGTTACTGTAATAAACTTGGCTGGTTTTACATCAGAGATACTTTTTCCACAGTTTTCAGGGAAGATATTTCTGTCCAGCCCAGAATTAGTAGATCCACTCAAGATGGGCATATTTATTGTCCCCACAGCTAGTATGGAGTTATCTTGCCAGTTCTTTCCCAAGTATTTTGCCAGTTCTGTGTCTTTGTTCCTCAAAGTAAATGAAAAACCCAAAACATCATGGTCTTTTCTGAGCTTTATGGCCCAGTTATGGTAGAAGGTAAGCTACTCACACGACATCAGCATTTTATGACATGACAATATGGTCATTGTTAATGCATTATCCACGGATAATTTTATTGCAATATAATAAATGAGTATAATAAAATTATCTGTGAATACTTATACCGTAATTGGCTGTTCTTAGGTCAGCGGGGGGGTCTTTTAGCATGAATATTGGGATTGTCAGTTCACATGCTACTGACTCATGTGTAGGGCATGCCGGATAAGCAAGGGTGCTTGAGTAGGGGACCACAGGCACACCTATTTGGATTCCCATAGGAAAAGCAGGGATTACATGTTGGGACCATTAAATAAAGGGATAGCAACCCCACCTCTTTATTTATGCTGGTTTAGATAATTAAATATGATGGAAGCATCTCGACACTTACTTGGAGTGGGCACGCTCTCCAGCTGTGCCAGTCTTTAGGACCTCTGTTTGTAAGGAAGCCCAGGCTGAGAGAGGTGAACCCTCTTCCTTTTAATTAGGTAAGTTCATGGAATTTAGTGACCAGAGCCTTTATTCTGTTTTTTAACCCGGAGTAAATTATCTTTCTAACAGCGCAGTGTATATGAAAATGGCTTCAGTCTTTTATCATCTTGTTGAGAAGTTTGTACTAAAGCTGTAAAAACTGATCATTTTCTAAAAAGGCTTTTGACCTTGTATTTCCTGGTTGCTCTTCGGAAAGCTTTCTTTTCAGTTCTTACATTTAGGTGTTACTTCACCTTCATACAAAACCCCACGGAAGCACTGAGCGTAATTGAGTTTTTACGCAGACCCTCCCCTGTTGTGAGCATGCAGGTCGGTGAGGCCTCTGCGGAGAGTCCTCACGACGACACCTCCCCCCCCCCCCCCCGACGCGGACAATGTCATGATTACGTTAACGGAATGTAACTGACGTTTTGTGAGTTTTTCTGTCTTCATTAAACTTCTTCACCTTCTCTGAAACCCCTCATGCTGCACGCTAGCACGGAGCAGCCGTATCCCTCGACCCAGCATGAGTCAGGGGTGCAGCCGCAATGCCAGCTGTGAGAGCAGCCGCGATACGAGCCCCGCTCGGGGCTTTCCTCCACTCGGTGAGTACCCGTAGGCGCCGACTCTCAGAGCAGAGCTCCTTGCCCTGCTCCCAATGCTTGTCCCACACACTGCGAGGCGGAATGACCTGCTGTCCCTCCTCTACTGTCCCTGTGGTCCTTTCTTCTTTCTTTCCTCTTCCCTAGTTCCCCTCTGTTGCCCTCCTCTGCATGCTTGAATTTTGGCAGTTTCCACTTTCTACATATGGGAAGAAAAAAACACCACTTCACTCTGTACTGTTGCCATTTGTGACCACTTGCCAGCAGCAAGCCTGTCTGTGTGGTTGCTTCTAACCTAAGGGGACGCTTGGCCAAAGCCTGTTGCTTCTGAAAAGTAGAGTTAATCCAGAGGTTTTCCTTTGTCATTGAATTTCGACATTTTGTGTTTAATTTCACCAAAGGCCAGGACATACGTGATTCAGTTCAAAGATGGGAAAAAATAAAATCATGAGAATGTGTAGGAAATGAAATGTGTTCAAGTTTGGGGGTGATAATGTTAATTTAAAAAGCTGCTTGGAAGAAGATATTAGCCATGACTTCGTTAAGTGAGTCATTTCAGTGCTTTCTTTAAAGCGAGCCCAAAGTAGCTCTTTGATAAACTGCTTAGGTGTATAGCCCAAGGTAAACGACTTTACAGTGTTTATTGTTAATTAATCAGATATTTTCATTCTTCCTGGGCTCAACAGGCTGCTTAATGTATGTGACCTGATGCCACCCCAGGGCAGAAATTTACAACATTTGGTCACCATAAGGCGGTGTCAGTACCATATCTGGGGTCATGAGCCTGGTGCCACCAGGGGCTGCCTATCCACCAGCCCTCTGTCTTACAGTGAGGATTTGTATTTTCACAATTTTTAGGAAATAAGAAAAACAAACAAAAAGAGAAACCTATTTCCTTTAAGAAATACTGTGTTGGCCTTTTCTTTTTAGGTTCAGTAGGCTAAAATGGACATATATCTTTTACCTAGTACAAATCATTAATCCCCAAAGACCTCTAGAAAGAACACACACGTCCACAAAAGGCCTTTTGTGTTCTCCAGTAATTGTGTCTCAGTTCTTCGCCACATTAATTGCTGTAAAACTGTATATTTTCCTTTTGATAAGCATGGCAGGTCGAAGTTATTTTATAAGATAGGCCTAGGCCTGAGGTTGTTATATGCAATTGTGGACTGCACCAGTCTGTTATTTTAACTCTATGTAACTGGTCTTTCAGATATAAAAATCTCACTCCAGAAGGTGGGTGATAGGTCAGCAGCACAGTCTTAATACTTGCCTCTCTCTGCTCCTGATGCCATACACTTCTTTCTGGTGCCCTTGTAGCCCATCAGGATCAATAATCAAAACCCAGATCTACCTCCTTATGACCCATTGTCCTTTATGAACTTAGAGCCATGCTGGATGAGTCGCTTGACTCAGTGAGAAGACACCTTTGTGAGACAGTCTACCTGATAGCATAGATCCCAAGGGGGGTGACTCACCTTGTACCCACCACCTATTCCACAGCGGTCCGGAGCATCTGAAAAGAATTCTCAGCAAATCAGGGGCGGCAATGGTGATTTTTTTCTGAATGAACTGGTGGTTTTTCCTTTTAAGTTAAAGCTGTATACTTCTGCATCTTGCTGACTATTTGGTCTTCTAAATAGCCTGTTATATAAGTGAACAGTTCAGTCTGCTTATTGGTTATTTGGTCTCTTAGAGGCAGTTCCGTGTTTATTTCCTGTGTGTACTGGTATTTTCGTTATTGTCGATGGAAGCAGCCTTTGTTCTCCAGCACGTGATCAGTGCACCAGGCAAAGTGTGCTGAATTCTTGAGTTCCTGATTGAACCCTGAGTACATGAATGATCTAGTCTGGTTTTCACTTTCTTTGGTGAAATGGATCTGCATAAGTGTCTTGGTGACAACCCAGGATGGTGAAATGTGCAGTCGCTCCTACCAGGACAGAAGATGTCGATGCAGATTTTTCCCCTTCCTAACAAACTAGCATCAGCGCCTGTCTTCTGTTGTGGTCAGGGCCAGAGTTAACATCTTTTCAGCTGAATTTTTATGCCATGCCCTCTTTTCCTTCTTGGGGTAAGTTTGTCCATAAAACTTTCATCCAGGAGAACAAGGAGTGCCTTATGTGTCCCAGCCCCTGTTCTGAGCAGGTACAGCCCCTGGTGGCTCCTGTTCACACTCTGGGACAGGTGTTATCGTTATCCCTTTTTTATGAATGAGGGAACAGAGAGTTAGGGAGAGTAAGCCAACTGTCTCCAGGTCACACAGCTAAATGGTGGCGCTAGGTTTTGAATCCAGTCAGACTTCAAAGCCTTGCTGGTCCCTTACCTCATTTGAAAGTTGTGACAATTTAGTGTCTTTCATTTGTTCCTCAGAAGTGTATTAAATGCATTCTCTCCAGGCTTAAGCACACAGAAAGTGCCCTGTAATGTTTCTCAATTATGATCTCCAGGCTTGGGGTTAAGCCATGGGAATTCATAGGTAAGTCCCTGAAGGTGGTCCCCAGGGGAACTCACTGAGCCCTTTAGACAATATGACGTTTCCTTCTCATTCATGTAATAATTGTTTCCCATCCTCTCTCAATAAATTAGTGAGATTTTTGTGTTTAGTGCCCCTTTGGGTCAGTTAATAGAGCCAGATTTGTTTGGAAAAATAAAAAGTGGGGGTGTGAAAATAATTACACTTTGGTGATTATATATTGGTTTTAAGTTTGCTTTTTTTTGGTCACCAAGTTATTTTGGACCACTTTAATAGGAGGGTATTTATACGGTTACAGCAACAATGTCTATGTGAAAGTAAGGGCTCAGCTGTAAGTCAGGCTCTGATGTGAGTGGGTCCATCTTGGGTTCCATTGTTGGGTGTTCACTTGAGAACATGACCAAGGATTCAGTCCATGCTGGATTTACTGTACAATAGCCTGTTGAAACAGAACCAAAGGACGACTTTTGAAGGAACCTCAGGCATTGCTTAAAAGGTATTTTCGGTCTATACTGCCAGGATGTGGGACTGATACGTTGCACAGTAAATGGTAGTCTTCAGCCTGGAAAATTATGAAAAGGCCTTAAAAAGTGATTATTTTAGATCTGCGTTAGAGATTGCCAATTAATTTTTGTGTATCTTGAGGAATTAGAAATTTTCCTTTCGTGAGCTGGTAAAAATGTGTTCTTATCCACCAGGTAACCTTTGCTATTTGATACCGCTTATGCCACAGATATGTGCATTTTCATAAAGTGATACGAGCTTAAAAAAAATAAAAGTATAGGGGCGCCTGGCTGGCTAGGTTGGTAGAGCATACGACTCAGTCTCAAGGTCGTGAGTTCAAGCCCCATGTTGGGTGTGGAGATTACTTTTTTAAAAAAATAAAATTGTATCGAAGAGTTTGAGGTTTTGGTATTTTACAGCAGAACAGAAGTGTTCACATGCACTGGCTACTGCGCTTTGGTAGCTTGGGTGAAAGCTAGATTTTTTTTTTTTTTTTTTTTTTTTGGTCGCTTGGGTGAAAAGTAGCACAGCTTGGGAGACCTGGTTAAACCTGTGAACTTTCTATGATGCAACCACCATGTTCTTTCCAGGGTAATGAGTATGAGCATATTTTCTTTGGGGCTTTTCTCCCAGAGGTAAGGAAGAGCCATGTATTACAGGGTACTCTTCTCAATAATTTGTGTTCTGAACCAAGTCTGTTTTATGGTTATTTCTGAAAGTTATTCTCTCTATATGAGGGCGGCGTTCAGCATATCACTCCTCAGACTGATGAATCAATTCGCTAATGAGTATTTGCTAATGAAGGAACATTTAACGTAGACACGTAAGTTGGCGCTTACTCGTGAGCGTCACTGCCGGCACCAGCACCTGCAGCACTGCCACTGTCGTCTCCACCATTTCACTCAGTGCCCGGCGCTGCTTTACGTGCTTCATGCATGATCTTTTGCAGCTGTCTCTGCTCCCAAGAGGTACGTACCCCTGTTAGCACCATTTCCAGATGCGGAAGCTGAGACACAGAGGTTTAGAGCTTCGCCTGAGGTCCTGCAGCTGGTCGTGACCAAGCCAGGATGTGGCCCTGACTAGTACAGAGCTGGCGCTCCTGGCCAGAGCACTGAAGTGCCTCTCCAAGGGAAGCCCCTTAAACCCATTACCACTAAATTTCCAGCAGCACAACAATCAATTCCTTAATGATTAGGATATTCGTGCAGGAAAACGGCAAAAATGGGGGGGGGGGGACACACAGGATTTCATTTGTTGAGCCCCTTTCTTGTGACTCCATTCTATTTCTGTTCAAATAACATTATGAACTTCTATGCTTTTGTGTTTGGTGCATGGTTGCATATGCATCACATACCAATGAGGCGTCTTGTGAGCTGAGTAAATAGTCCATTCTCCTGCCGCTCCACCGGGTATAGACGGTGCTCCGTGACTCCTGGCGTCCTTCATGTTGCATATTTCCATAACGGCTGACTGGGGCTTCGCGGCGAGGATGTAAACGTGGAGTCCAAGCTTAGGCACCTTGGATGGTGCCTGTGTTGTGCCTGTGTGTGTAACAGCCGAGTGAGAGCCGGCAGGCCGCCACGGGGTGTGGGGTCGGCACTTGCTATCCATCCATCTCCAGCGCCATCTCCGTTCCTGAGAAAACATGGCCTTGTCAGGAGTGGCCCCCGCGTCTCCTGTGGACTGTGGCATTTTCTGTGTCGGGTGCTCGTGTGTTAATCCTGTGGGTGTTGCCGTTCCTTTTACCTGCAGCCTCTCGACGTCATTCCAGGTCCACTAGCGCCCTCTCCACTGCTGAGTCTGTTGGGCAGTCAGGTGAACAAGCGCTAACTGCATGACTTGGCTTCTTCATGCGTCCCCGTCTCACGCTCATTCTAGCATTCGTTTCCATCAGTGTCGCCTCGCACTTGGCATGTATGCACTTCACGTTTGTTTTCCCCAACGTGCTTTGGTTTTTTTCCGTTGTCGAATGTTTATGGTTCTGTTAATAGGCTGTAGATGCTTTAGAGCCTGTTTGACAACATCGTGTCTCCAGTGTTCATGTTTATGTGAAAACAAAACAGAAACACGGGGAAGAGTGTCCTCCCCCCTTTGAGTCCCCCCTTTATAAAACAAGCACCCAAAATAGGGATCACAAAAAGTCCCTTTGGGAAAATAGGGTACGGATGTCATCCGACAGAGTCTTTGCTCCCAAGAAGCGCTGATTACCCATGTTACTTATTAGTGTCCGGTTCTGGTGATCTGGAGGAGCCATCTAGTTACCACATGTCCCCAATCACAGAACACATAACTTCACAGGTGTAACTGTTGTCCTAAAACTTTGATGGAACAACAAAGTCATTAGTCAGAGAACCAGGTCAGGTCAAAGGTAGCCTTTGCAGCCTGCGGTCCCGAAATGTGTCATCCCAGCCCGCTTCCACAGTCCCACAAGTCCCCCGGGTAGCCGTCGGGGCAGAATGTAAGCATACAGAAATGCATCTGTGTGCTGGATTTCACAGACATTGTTTTTGTATGCTGACCATCCCAAATGATTACTTTTCTCACTTGAGTAAGGCATTATGTGCTAAGTCACAGACTGCTGATGGTGATACCTGTCGCCCCTTCAGTGAGCTGTTTTCTCCGTTCTTCCTCGAAGTGAAGCAAGCTGTGCATTTTTTTTTTCATGTGCACTCTGTTGAGTACACCCCTGAAGGTTAGGGGTCTGACCAAGGGCACAGGCCCACGTAACCACCTCTCGGGGAATGGAGCTTCATAGCGACCTAAGAGCAGGGAGAGTGTAGAACAGATTTTGGTCTGGTGAAAACAAAAGGCTTGTAACTTTGCTCAAATCCAGACAAGTCTTTCCCCTTCAGATGTGAGATTCAAATGATCTGTGACATCTGTCCAGCGATCTGCAGTCGCTGTGTAGGCGGAGCTGTATGCATCTGGGAAGCACAAAATAATTGCATTGTTCTTACAGCTTTAATTTTGTGTCTTAAAAACAAAATATCAGTATTATCCCTGGAGCAAGAATTGCTGGCATGTGACGTACTTTTTATTTTTTAGTTTTTTAGGTTCTGTTTTATTTAAGTTTATGCTGGATAATTTTTAAATGGCTTATAACTGAATTAATTTCATTTTGTTCCTCATAAATCCCTTACTATCTACCCTTTTTTAATGGAAAAAAGACTTGAACAAAGATAATGTATAGTACTATATGCACAGCAAATCTCAAATTTACACAAGTTTTATATTTCAACTGATAATATACATATATACATAACACATATATATGGAGACATATAACAATGATTGTTTTGTGGTCTCTTAGTTTATATGGCACATGTAATCATCTTTTACATAATGACTAAGACATCATGAGTATGACCAACAAGTGCATTAAAAAAGGGGATAGTACAACATACAATTTTTGTTTCTTTATAAGAATTCATGAGTGTATAATGTTTGGTTAGCGGTGTTTACATTTTTTCCCCTTTCTGTGGTGCTAGAAGGTGTAATTTTTGAAACTGGCATTTTAAATAAGCTAAGGAACACCTCACTTTAGAAGTTCTTGTTTTCTAAAGAACTCTTGTTACGTACGCAGAATTTTAAATATATCACTTTATAAGAAAGATCAGTTCATGTAAAACAGAGTTAGCTTTCCTTTTACCCTAAATACTTCGTTACGAGAATACGTATGTGCACGTGCATGCACACACACACACACACACACACACAGTCCAAACAGTGTCTTATTTGTTCATAAAAAGAAAGCATTTTTGTTATCTAACATTTTTCTTCAAAGGCTTTTTATACATTAGCATTTTAAATAAGACACGTTTGCCAGTAAATAGTGTGATACATATAGGAAATATGATTTTTACATGAACTCCCCTGTTGTAGCTTTAACCTCAGCACTTCTTAAGGAAGCCTGCTCACCTAACGTCATGGGGCTTTTAAAAAGCTAGTCGTCTTAGTCCATGATCCTCAACGTAATTGAACTTAAAATAATTAAACTGCTGGAATTTATCTTAAATTCTTTGGATTGCATCCATTTTGTGTACACATACAAAGACTGTCATTAAAATTCAAATCCTTTGAGAGACCCAGGAAAAATGTACATTCATGTTATCTGAATGATTATTGTTTTGCAGTGAAGATGCTAGCTTTTTATGGTGATCATTGAAGAATTTAATAAACTGATTTTTAAATAACCTTTGGTGACACAGGCATCATGAACAAGCACCCAAATTAATTGAGCTCAGTTAATAACAGTTAAACAGTAGTGGGACTAATGAAAATTTGCAGAGATCAATTGAATTCATCAGTTTCAAATGTTAACTTTTTATCACACAGTGCATTAGAACTACTGATTTGTCAAACCATGAAGCTAATTAGTTAGACCAAACATCAGGGCCTCCAGAGGGAACACTAAATAGATTAAAAGACTCAACACATCGCCCAGCTCACTTCTAGACTAAGTTCCCCTCTCTCCCTTGTCTCAACACTTTAACAAAATAAAACCTCATTAGAGAGCCATTAAAGTTGTTAGGATGCCTTGTAGCAGGGATAGCATTCAGGGGGAGTAACTTCACCCCTGCCGCTGGTAACAGGTCAAATCTAGTCAGGACTGCAAGTGAAGTGTAGTTAAGTGCGGTTAGAGACTTCCCAGTGCCTCTGTCCAGTAGGTGGGAAGAGGCAGGAGCCCTTGCAAAGAACTGAGAAAATGTGAAGTAAAGTGACATATCTTTGGTTTTGTTTTTTGAATAGACCGGTTTGGGCTTGGCCAGGCAGGAAGAGTACCTGGCTCTGTGAATGCCATGCGGGTTCTGAGCACAAGTACAGACCTTGAAGCTGCTGTCGCTGATGCTTTGGTAAGAGTCCCGGCGTGTGCAGTCTCTCTCTCTCTGACTCACTCATCCGCATTTTCCTCTGTCCTCACAGAAAATCGCCTCCACGTCAGGGTACTGAGCCATCCTCAGCAGTGTGGGAATTGTGTCAATATTGTGTAAACTTGGTGTAACTAACGTGTAAAGTTGTTTTATTATCCCTTTCTTTGGAAACTTTGATCCCCGTACAGAAGCGAAGATTGGCCTTACGGAAAATACTAGCATCAAGTATTTCTTCTGTGCTCCTCAATATCAAGGAAGTTTTGATGACATTGGGCTTCTTTGATGTCATTGGGCTTCTTTTTCTCCCCCTTTTTCTCCATGTTTTTTTTTTCAGCGTTTCCTTTTTTCATTCTGTGGCTTCTGCTGCTTTACAGGCTCGATGGCATAGCCTAAGCATATCATTATGATAGTAGGTAACAGCGTGAGTGGTTTAAAAATCTCACATTTATTCGACGACCACACTAGTTGTTCCATACAATTTCACATTTGTTTTGTTTTTTTAAATGAGCCATCAAGTCCTTATTTAAGGAAACTTTCCCAAATGTTAATGCCGGTGAACTCTGAGGCCATAAGGCACTGGGGGAATGTGTTTTTGCATCATTATAATGTAGTGTCTAAAAATTATAAGAAGACTATAAAGCAGTTAGAGGCTCTTCCATTTGTGGTTACAGCAAAACACTCCTGGTAGAATCCCTTGTCAAATGGCTTTTTAAAGATGCATTTCAGCTGGTAGTGACACTGCCTCTAGCATATTCCAGTTGATGTGCTCAGCATTTAAAGTAGGTCCTCTTTAGAACTGTCTGGACTCTGGCCTTACTTGTGCTGTTTGAAGGTATATTGTCTCTCTAAGGAAGAAAGTACCATGACATCCTGCTTTCAGAACCAGAAGGTTTAAATCCAGCTGTGTTTTTCATCCAGTCAAACTGTTACAGTCTGTGGCTGCACGGATTCTCACTGTCACCCCTTCCTGTGTCACCCTCATTTATTCCTGCTCAGTCAGATTGCTTGGACAGGCAACTGTGAGCAAGTAGTTTGCCACCCTCCCAATGCTTTTCCTGTAAGCAGGGGCGCCTGGCCAGCTCTATTCATCAGCCTTCTGTGTAGAAGGGGTTTTTTCCTGGCAGGTACTGGAGTTCAGGATAATTGCTCTAACCATGGCTTTGACTTCATAGTCATGAGCTGGAACAGAACTCTGTGAAGCTATTCTTTCTTCCAAGCTGCAGCACTGGGAATTGCTTATTTATTCAGAGACCCTATTTGGAGGTCAGAGGGGTGGGAAATGATGGATGGGCAAAACCCTTAGTTAAATGGGACTTCCAGTTAAGGCGGGGAAATTCCCTCCTCCTCTAAAGAACCGCCCAAGGGACTGTGCACAAAGTTCTAGGAGCCAGAGTTGGACTTGGGAACTTAAGCTTGGGCTTTCCTTGACTTGGGCTCTTCTCTGAGCTCTAGCCATCCGTCCACTCAGGCTGCCCTTATTACTCTTTGTCCAAGCTGCTTGGTCTCCCTGAGTGACCCGCTGCAGAAGAGAGAGCTCAGGAATGGTACCCAGAGTGTGCTTCCCAGTATAAGAGCCCCAGGGGCACACAGAATCTAGCATAGGAATAGGCGGAATGTGGTGTGGGGGAGTTTTAGCGTAGCAAGAAGTATGGCAAGTTCTAGAAGGCATTTTCAGGAGGTGTAGGAAGGGCTAGGAGATGCCATTGGGAAAGCGTTCTTTGTTATTATTCGCTTGACATGAATCGCTTGCTAACCTATATTTTTGGTTTGCTAAGATATGTTTTGCTGTACACTTTTGTTGCAAGAACAATCCCCACATACGCTTCTGACATAATTCTCTATGCTTTTTCCCCATCCTTCAATATTTTCCTGCCTACAGCTGTTAGGAGACTCCAGGAGCAAGGTACCAGTGCTTTAACTTTTGTTTTACCCACTTCATTTTTTCTGTTGCAAGTATATTTCCTTTAGGAGCTAGTGAAAGCAACAAAGCATATAGTCTAATGTAGAAATCCTGGTCTGAATTATGATTTGTCAGCTCTAGTGAAGCCATTGTTAGTGATGGAGTCAGTCACCTCTCTCATCTGTTCTAGTTTTTTTTGTTTGGTTTGATTTTGTTTTTTAATGTCAAGCTCAGCTCCTTCTCCTATCAGTGTTTTATTTTATTCTGTTTATTATTAACCCTGTTTGTGTCTACTTACTGTTTTTATTATTTCATGGATGGATATAGTCAACATTTTTCTTATTTTACGGATCTAGTTTATACATAAATCAGATGATCCTATAATCTGCCATCCTAACAGGGATTATTGTGAAAGGGGGTGTGATCCATAATTGTGCCAGGACGAGAGGCATAAGACAGAACTGTCCCCAGCAAGTTGTGATGGACGGATAAGCCGTATTATTAGAGAATTACACTTGGGGGGAAAAAAGAAAAAAAAGATTACATTTTATGGTTTTGGCCAATAACTTTTTTTTTTGTTTTTGGGAAAATTGTATTTTAGCAATTTACTAGCTGTTGCTATATTATTTATGGGTTTAACTTCAGTTTTATATCCAGGGTATGAGAAACAAATGAAGGGTCTGCAGGAAGCTTGTTTGTGTCAGATAATTTAAGAATCCTCTGCCATGGGCTCCTCTTCTCTGGAATTTCAGTTTCATACTTTCTTAACGAAGCATTAATATTCAAACAGATTTTCCCATTGACCATGCTCACAATCTGTTGTTTTTGATTGGGAAAGGGGCCGGTGGGTGCACCTATACCTGCTGTGTGGCCAGGGCTGGGCCAGGTTAGTTAGCGTGTCCTTCCATGACCTCCTCGCCATGAGCGTGTGAGAGGTATCCTATTATCAGTTCAAAGACGGGGAGAGTGAAGCAGGAAGGAGCGGAGGCTTTCTGGAGCCCTCAGCCCTCAGCGGCTGCAGGATTACCGTCCAGGCGGTCCCAGTGCCAAGTCCACACACTCTCCTAGAGACCGTATCCTCCCGTGGATCGGACGTGCTGTGGATCGCTCTGCTTGTCACTTCCTGTCCTGACTGGACGTCTGTGTTTTTGTTTTTATTTCCCTGATCTGTAGGCACAGGAAAGTGTGTGCGTGCGTGCGTGTACCTTTTTACCATCAGCCCCATTGCTGTTTTTGTGTGGTGTGACTCACGGTCCTTTCGCCTTCCCGTTTCTCCCCCCCCGCCCCACGTGGGACTGGACAGAAGAAGCCTGTGAGGAGGAGGTACGAACCGTACGGCATGTATTCCGACGATGATGCCAACAGCGACGCGTCGAGCGTGTGCTCCGAGCGCTCGTACGGCTCCCGGAACGGCGGCATCCCCCACTACCTGCGACAGACCGAGGACGTGGCCGAGGTCCTCAACCACTGCGCCAGCTCCAACTGGTCCGAGAGGAAGGAGGGGCTGCTCGGCCTGCAGAACTTACTGAAGAGCCAAAGAACACTGAGGTGAAGGCGAGGGGCCGGGGCTGCGATCTGGGTCCCAGGCTGTCCTTGGCAGCAGCTCAGATGGGTCTCCTGTCACTCACCGAGGCCGTGCAGAGTTCCAGGGTGCAGGCACAGGTGCCCAGGCCGCTAAGGTGATGGCCACATGGTCATTGCCTGCCGGAGACTCTGAAACCTCTGTGAACACTCTACTTGATTAGGCTTGTTGGTCCTTTGGTTCCCTTACGGCTCCTGTTGATCTGGCAGGTGTTCTTTGAGTAATCCTGGTACAGCTTGCAGTTTACGTAAAAAGTGAGACACTCTGCAGGTTGGTACAGCTCATTACACTGTGGGGGTGTGGGTAAAATGATAGCAGTCTCCATCTAAAATTTTTTCATGTGCATGCATAGAGCTTATAAATGGGCACAGTGATGAGATGCTGAAACAGAGTACTTTAAGGCTGCCACAGCGTTATCCCCAGAATTGACTGTTTTCTTCTTGCCTTTGGTTCTGGGTTTCATAAATTTTCTAAAATGTGTGTGTATTACACGTACCAAAAAAGTATGTATGTGTTTATACCATATTTCATCAAATCTAAGGCACCGTTGATGCACCATTATTTTACATCCCTCTAAGAAGAAGTGCTACTTACTAAACCATGGCAATACTAGTAGGTCTTTGATTGTAAGATGAAGCTCAAAATTATAGAAATGTTACCATGTGAAAAATATGGGTTGGGGCGCCTGGGTGGCTTAGTCGATTGAGCGTCCGACTTTTGCTTAGGTCATGATCTCTCGGTTCGTGGGTTCGAGCCCCGCGTCGGGCTCTGTGCTGACTGCCAGCTCAGAGCCTGGAGCCTGTTTCAGTCTGTGACTCCCTCTCTCTGACCCTCCCCTGCTCACGCTGTCTCTCTCTCTCTCTCCTAGAAATAAAAAAATTAAAAAAAAAAATTAAAAAAAAATATGGGCAAGTTAGAATCTGTTGGATAAAAATTGGATAATTTTTTTAAGTCTATTTTGAGAGAAAAAGAGAGAAAGCGTGCATGTGCGGGAGGAGGGGCAGCAAGCGGAGAGAGAATTCCAAGTGGGCCCTCGGCCGTCAGCGTGGAGCCCAGTGCGGGGGCTCAATCCCACCCAGACTATGAGATCACGACCTGAGCTGAAAGCAAGAGTTGGACACTTAACCGACTAAGCCACCCAGGCGCCCCTGGATAATTTTTCTAAGATAAATTGTCAGAGTGCGTAAGTTTATGGTCACAGATGGGCTTTGCAAAGCTGAGTCAACACTGACTCACAAATCACTGTGCCGTAAGTGTGCCCGTCCAGTCAGCCAGCCTCCATCCACCCTGCTGTATTGTACCTACTGTGTGCTGTCCAGCGCCTCCCCTCAGCCCCCCATTACTCCATTCTGGTCACGGAGATGTCATGAGCAGCGTTGTCCTCTGCCTTCTGAAATGCAGGTAGCCTCTGACACTCTAGTGAGTTGTCAAAAACAACATGAGGATGGTTTATTGAGATGATTATTCTTCAAGAATCTGCTTAATTCTGGTGGTCCCAGTTTCTTAACATTTTAATGTTCACCCAGTCTCCATGGAATAGTCTTCAGAAATCTGTTGGTTGGAATTGGTCTAATCTAGAGCACATTGTTAATAATGTTAAAGGATCATCGAGCTAACAGCCTCGTGTATGAAGGGGGATTACTTGGGGTGATTTGGGGACAAGACGATGATCCTTAGAATCAAGCTTTGAAGTAAAATGGGACTCAGTGGTACAGACAAGGATAAGAAAGGGCAAAAGGACACTAACAGGAAATGAGCATTTGCTTTGTCTCAGTACTTGTAGGAAGGAAGTGTGGTCCCTCCTTAACCCTCCCTGGAGCCATTTGTTTGATAGATTAAAGACATCTGAGTACTTGTAGCAAAACTAGATTAAAATCCAGGTCTCTCTGACCCCACACCACATGCTTTTCCTAGTTTATCTCCTTGCCTTTCATCTTTGGCAGGTGGAAAACAGACCTCCCATGACATGAGTGGGATTTCCCTCATGGCTTTGCCTCTCCCGTGTGTGTGAACTTGAGCAGTTGCTGTCAGACGTGCTGTCTCCTCATCTTCAGTTGAGAGCCAGACTACCATGATTTTATATTTCTACTTAATCTCATTATGAGTTAAATAAGTTAATTTATTTGTGAAAAAAAGCTTTGTTATATAAAAATTATTTTTTAAAAAGTTTTATTTTAATGTTTAGTTTTCAGAGAGAGGGACAGCATGAGCAGGGGAGGGGCAGAGAGAGAGAGACAGAATCCGAAGCAGGATCCAGGCTCTGAGCTGTCAGCACAGAGTCTTACATGGGACTCGAAACTATGAACCGCGAGAGATCATGACCTGAACTGAAGCTGGACACTCAGCCGACTGAGCCACCCAGGCGTCCCTGTTATATAAAAATTATTTTTTTAAAAAAGCTGTCAGTGGGGCACCTGGGTGGCTCATTCGGTGAAGACTCCCACTCTTGATTTCAGCTCAGGTCATGATCTCATGGTTTGTGAGTTCAAGCCCCACATTGGGCTCCGTGCTGACCATGCAGAGTCTGCTTGGGATTCTTTCTCTCCCTCTCTCTGTGTACCTCCCCCCACCAAAAAATAGAGAAAAATTTTTTTTTATAGCCGTCACTAATCTCCTTGTTGATTCATTAAATTCTAAGTTCATTTATTTCCATTTATTTCCTCTAGTCGAGTAGAATTGAAAAGATTGTGTGAGATCTTCACTCGGATGTTTGCTGACCCTCACAGCAAGGTAAGTCTGGGCGTCATGCTGCTGACACCCCTCTGCATGTCCACGTGAGCTGTGTAATGCACTACTTAAGAGTGAGAGTTTCCCGTAGTACAGTTTAGACCTTCAGATTTAACACCCATTTCTGCAGTAGTTTACGTTATATCTTTGAAGTTGCTTTTTGTTGTTTGTTTTTGTTTTTTGAGAGAGAGAGAGAATATCCGTAGCAGGGGCTCAATCTCATGAATAGTGAGATCGTGACCTGAGCCAAAATCAAGAGTCAAAAGCTTAACCCACTGAGCCACCCAGGCGCCCCTGTTATATCTTTTAGAAATGACTTCTTGGGAACTTCAAATGTCTGTAGAACTTTGGGCTAGATAAAGTATGTTTTAAGAGTTAATGGAGAGAATCAGATGTAGTCTTACTCATTCAGATACTTTTGGGTGCCTCCTATTGCCAAACAGTAGTCTAGGTGCTAGAATAAAACCTTGTATTATAATGTAGTGCCCCCCCCTTTTTTTAAACTTAAAGCAGTTAAGATAACCAAATATATAATTTTTTGTATCCCATGTAAAATGTGTCTATATAGGGCAGGGTAGAAAAATAGAAGCATTTATGTAATGGATTTATTGAAAAACCAGGGTAAGCTATTTCTCCAAATAGAATTTTACTGTCCCTGAGAACTTGCTGGACGGTGGCCATTTAGCAGACGTCCACACTCCCGGGATCCACACAGGGTGCTGAGCCTGAGGGGATCCCCACTGGGGGAAACCCCCCGAATATGACCCAGGCCCCTTCTGGGAGTGGTGCGAGAGAGGGGCTCTTGACGGAAGCTTACCTGAAGTCCAGATTTGAAACAGATACCAGAAATTTGGGAGGAGGCCTAGAGGCCGTTGGATGCTTTTAGAGAAAGAAAATGGGGAGAATGAATTTACTGGGGAAGTTTAAAGGATGAATAAAGGAAAGAAACAACATATGGCTTCTGTCCTTTGAGATGTTCATGGGAGCCCAGGAGAGTGACTGTGGGGGTTCTCTTTTCTCTGCGGGGAGTTGGGGGACAGCAGTTCTCCTCGATCCTGGTCTTAAAGCATGTGTTAAAAGTCCTGTGATGATGTGAGGATCCTCACCGCAAGGCCAACATTAACAACATCCGAAAAATTCAAGAAAGGTTGAATCCTAGGCCCACAGATGTCCAAAAATAGATAGTGTTGAAAAGCAGGAAGATTTTAAGCATAGACATACGATTCATAAGAGAGCATAAGGGGTATTAGGTGGTATGGGGCATTGATGAAATTTCTATTACCTGTCACCTCTAGATTGCTGATTCAGAACCAGAATGTGAGGATAAAGAAGGAAATTTGTTTCCGTCAGAAGGCTCTTGTACAGTGAGTTTGGAGGTCTCAGTTTAGTTAATATTTGCTAGCTGCCTTTGAGCTAAGCCAGGAATCCCACAGCTGGGGCTCGCAGTTTTTTCTGAGCTGCCTCACAGGAGACCCCTGGTGGTTAATAGCTGCTGTGCCAGAACTGAGCATGTGTGTAATGGCTGGACTGTCCCAGCAGAGTGCAACTCATTAGCCTAGCAGGGTACGTCTCTCTCTGAAATCCATTCCAGGATAGTCAGTCCACTGTGGGCTCTGGTCTCCCCATGGACAGCGCTAACGATTGCACAGCGGCATGAGAACTAGGTGGACTGCAGCCCATAACTTTTTATAAAGACTGTTACCACTTTTATAGTATCTTTTTATAAAGATACTCCTTTGCAGTATCTGAATTGCAGTCATACAGTGCACAAGGTTTTTTCCTCCTTCATCCTGCAATATTACCTGTTGAATGCTAGACAATGAACAGTAATAGTATACAATTATGATGTTAAAATATTTTTTTTTTTTTAAGAGAGAGGGAGGAAGGAAGGAAGGAAGAAAAACCTCCAGGATTAAACTGATACTTTTCAGTAAAGTTAATTTCTGTCATTACTGAATTTTGAAGGCATATTGAGGGAGGGGAGAATATCAGGGATAAGTTTGTAGTGTTTTCAGGTCTTTTGAAAAACTGCATGAAAATGGTATTAATTCACTGTGGACTAACATGGAATTTGTTCTGTTGCATGGCCTGTTTTGCGGTGGAATTCACAACAGAGAGTAAGTTCCAATCCTTTTTCCTTTGCATTTTACAATACGTTTGTCTTCTCTAATACGATGAGTCCACGTTTTAGAGACTTTGGAGGACATTCTGAATTATGTATGTGAACTATTTGGTTTTCATTTCTGTCTAGGTTTTCAGTATGTTTTTGGAGACTCTGGTGGATTTTATAATCATTCATAAGGATGACTTGCAAGACTGGCTTTTTGTTCTTCTCACACAATTACTTAAGAAAATGGGGGCAGATTTACTTGGATCTGTGCAAGCAAAAGTTCAGAAGGCTCTCGATGTCACGAGGTAAGTTTTTAAGGACTAAACGATTTTCCCCCAACTTTTGAGCTGTCACTGACCCGAAACGTCGTGTAAGTTCGAGGCATATCACATGGCGATTTGATATATGTGTATGTTGCTGACTGATAACCACGCATTAGTCAACATGTTGTACACCTCACATGGTACCATTCTCTTTCATTGTGCTGGTGGTAGGAGCACTTAGGCTCTGTTATCTTAGCAGTCAAGTGTGTGTCCAGTCCTGGTAACTGGTGCTCACCATTCTGTGCCTCAAATCCCTTCTGTTCATGTTATGTATGCTCATTCCCATGAGCCTCTCCCCGTGCTCCCCACCCCACATCCCCTGACAACCACCACTCTACTCTCTTTTTACAGATTTGGGGTTTTTGTGTTTGTTTGTTTGTTTGTTCCATGTATAATAAGCCAGATCATGCAGTATTTGACTTTCTCTGTCTGGCTTATTTCACTAATGCCCTCAGCATCCATCCATGTTGTCACTAATGGCGGCATTTTCTTCTTTTTTATGACTGAGAAATACTCCATTGTTCTTCTTTATCCATTCACCTGTTGACAGACCCTTGGGTTGTTTTGTATCTTGGCTGTTGTAAATAATGCTACAGTGACCATGAGGTCAGGGATCTCTTCAAGATGGTGGTTTCATCCCCTTTGTATACATACCCAGAAGTGAGAAATTACTGGATTATATGATGTTTCTATTTTTAATTTTTAATTAATTAATTTCTTAAAGTTTCTTTCCTTATTGTAGGGGGAAGGGGAGCCAAGAGAGAGAGAAGGAGAGAAAGAACCCCAAGCAGGCTCCCAGCTGCCAGCCCAGAGCCAAGTGTGGGGCTCGACCTCAGGAACTGTGAGAGCATGTCCTGAGCCAAAATCAAGAGTTGGATGCTTAACCAACTGAGCCACCCAGGCGCCCCTTAATTCTTAATTCTTTGAGGAACCTTTATACTGTTTTCCGCAGCGGCAGCACCAATTTACATTCCTATCCACAGTGCACAGGGGTTCCCTTTTCTGCACATCCTCAACATTTGTCATCTCTTGTCTTTTTGATAATAGCTAGGAGGTGTGAGGTGATACCTGTCATGGTTTTGATTTGCACTTCCCTAATGGTGATGTTGAGCACCTTTTTGTGGATGTTTTGGCCTTTTGGATGTCATGTTTGGGAAAATACCTGTTCACGTGGGCTAGACACTGCTAATGTTACAAGACTCTCATAGGTGGTTCTTGCCATTCTCTTTTGTTACCCGTGGGTTTTGTCATCTGCTTGAACAAGCACTCTCTTACCATTTCCACATTCTCCTCTTACCAGATTTGTTGCAATGTTCCTGCCTTCCATGAGATGAGAAGTTGGCATTGTTTTTGCGAATGCTCAGGACAAACGTAAAAACAAGTATAAAACCTAGCAAATTGATTTCTCTTCTCTTTAAGACATTTTAGAGGATTTATATCCTTCTGAAGACCTCAGTATTTTTAAACAATGTTTATTTTGAGAGAGTATGCACATATGTACACACACACACGTGTGTGCATATGTACATGAGTGGAGGAGGGACAGAGAGGGAGGGAGACGGAGAATCCCAAGCAGGTTCCACACTGTCAGTGCGGAGCCCTAGGCAGGGCTTAGTCTCACAAACTGTGAGATCATGACCTGAGCTGAAATCAAGAGTTGGACGTTCAACCAGCTGAGCCACCCAGGCGTCCCAAGACCTCAGTTTGTTTGTTTGTTTATAATTTACATCTAAATTAGCTAGCACGTAGTGCAGTAATGTTTTCATGAGTAAATTCCAGTGATTCGTCCTATTTGTGTAACACCCAGTGCTCATCCCAACAAGTGTCCTCCTTAATGCCCCTTACCCACTTAGGCCATTTCCTCCCCCCCACCCCCCACAGGCCCTCCAGCAACCCTCAGTTTGTTTTCTGTATTTAAGAGTCTCTTTTGTTTTGTTCCCCTCCCTCTTTTTATATTCTTTTTGCTTCCCTTTCCTTATGTTCATCTGTTTTGTTTCTTAAATTCCTCATATGAGTGAAGTCATGTGATGTTTGTCCGACTGACTTATTTCATTTAGCATAATACCCTCTAGTTCCATCCACATAGTTGCAGATGGCAAGATATCATTCTTTTTGATTGCCAAGTAATACTCCTTTGTATATATAGACACCACATCTTCTCTATCCGTTTATGTGTCGATGGACGTTTGGGTTCTTTCCATACTTTGGCTATTGTCAATAGCACTGCTGTAAGCATTGGGGTGCGTATGCCCCTTTGAAACAGCACACCTGTATCCCTTGGATAAATACCTAGTAGTGTAATTGCTGGGTCATAGAGTAGCTTTATTTTTAATTTTTTGAGGAACCTCCAGACTGTTTTCCAGAGCGGCTGTACCAGTTTGCATTCCCACCAGCAGTGCAAAAGGGTTCCTCTTTTTCCACGTTCTCTCCAACATCTGTTATTGCCTGAGTTGTTAGTGTTAGCCACTGTGACTGGCATGAGATGGTATCTCATTGTGGTTTTGATTTGTATTTCCCTGATGATGACTGATGTTGAGCATTTTTTCATGTGTCTGTTAGCCATCTGGATGTCTTGTTTGGACAAATGTCTGTTCATGTCTTTTGCCCATTTCTTCACTGGATTACTTATTTTTGGGGTGTTGAGTTTGATAAGTTCTTTATAGATTTTGGATACTAAAACCCTCTATCTGGTATGTCATTTGCAAATATCTACTCCCATTCCTTTGGTTGCCTGTTAGTTTTGCTGATTGTTTCCTTCTCTGTGCAGAAGCTTTTTATCTTGATGAGGTCCCAAGAGTTCGAGGTCTCAGTATTTTTAATACTTCATCTTCTTATAAGTCACACTAGAAATTTTGCTAGTTACGTGTGATGTAGGATTCCTGTTCGCCCGGGTACAATCCCAGTATTCACTGACTCAAAGGTTGATAATAGACCGCAGTTGTGACCTGTTACAAGGAAAGAAGGAAGAGCTGTGGAGACTCAGAGACGTGTGAAAAACTACGTGCTGTCATTTTCCAGAAACCTCCTATCTATTGCCTCTGCAGTTGTGGGTCCTCAGCATACGAGTGTTAGAAACTAAATGACCTCAGAAGACACCTGGCTGTAATGTCTCAGTTGCCATTTGGTGGAAGATGGAGGGTTATGTGTCAGATCATTGAATTTTTAAAAGAATAAACAAATGACTCCAGATCAGCTAACTACCCTCAGTAGAATAACTTTTACATGATTCACTTACTACACACTAGAATATTACCACATATCATAGAATTCCCAAAACAGGAGGACCCATCCTCATTGTATTAGTGAAGAAACAGACTTGATTTGACAGGCCATGTGGGAAGTGGGACCCAGGACTGCTGGTGATGACAGTAGTGCAGAAAGTGTGCCCCCTTACCGCGCACTGGTTTGTGGGGATGCGTCCTCCTCTCCTGAAGGAGAACATAGTTGGCATTTGCTCTTTTTCTTTCCTCTCTCATGCCCTCACTAATAGTAGCACCCTCCACGCTGCCATCAGCTCCCATGTGTCTGTTAGATGTCTCTGGCTGTGAAATGTGCGTTTGTTCCTCTGCGCTCTGATGCCCACTGTTTTCTTTGGTTCCTGACCCTGTAGTTCTGTATAATTGTGCTGCTGTAGAATTTTCTTGTCCAGGTAGCTCTCCCTTGTGGTTTTCAGTGAGCTCAGTGTAATATACTATATTTGCAATAAGCCTTCCAAATGCCATCCCTCCTCTCATGAGCGAGTTAGTGGAATTAGGATTGCATCATTGGATTTGTAAAGGTTCAGCCAGGGATTGAGTAGAGGGGTGAGGCTGGTCCGGCTGGTAGTGACTGAGTGAAACAGACAGGTGATGCCATGGGCCAGGGGGCTTCCAGAGAGAGGTGGCCATGTGGGCATGTGGGCCAGTGGTACCCAATTTCTCAAGAAAGGTCAGAAATGTGGAGTAAGGCACCACATTTGAGATTTATTTTTAAAAGACACTCTGAAAGCCAGATAAAATCTTTGTGTGTCAGACTTGGCCTAAAGGTCTCTTCCTTCCTATAGGTGAATTTGTGAATGGCAAAAAAGTTTTAGGGGTGGCAGTAATATCAGGGTCTTTATCCTAAACCTTGGTGATTAAGGAAAACTCTCTGGTTATTTTCCTGGATGCCATGTTCCTTTAAGAATCCTCTCGGGTAGATTCGGTCTAAATCTCTAGAGCATGTTCATTATTCACTTTTCTGAGCAGCTGAGACGCCTAGCTATTTATGTGTATCTAGGATCAGTCAGTGAGTATTGGTGATGGCTGGGGGTTCTTGACGTAACAGGCCTACTTCCTTTCCTTCAGCTGCGCCCGACCGCAGGCATATTTCCAGGTTAAACACGCCCACCTACACCTGAACGATTCTCTGTTCTCCCCTTGCTGCAGGAGAGGACAGAGGTGTTTTGTGTGTGGGTTTGTCAGCCTTCTTTCTCTAATGTAGAGCTGGTATGAGCACTTAAATCCTGTATGCTGGAGTGTACCTTGCTTGCAGATGTGGGCCTCGTGGCTTCCTGGATACCAACAGGTGTGCTACTGGGTCAAGTATGCTCTTTACTAGTAATTATAACAGTAGGAATGTTAGTAGGTAGAATGTGCCTCGGGCGTTGTATTTTCTTGGCATTATTTCATTAAAAATTGCAAATCCATCCTGTGACTTCACAGATTTGAACCTGCTTCCATGTTCTTTCTACTATACTTCTGTAGATTGAGAAAAGTGCCTTAGAGAGGCCAAAGAAAGCAATGCTGTCACTCAGCCTCAGTCATATAGATGTTTGCATTGCCTGTTGGTGTGGAAGGTACGTCTGCATTGTCCTGCATAGACACCATTATGCACTTTTAAACTAATGCTGGAGATTGTAGCATTTTAAGGGAAGGAGCACGGACTTGGGCTAGCCAGGAGCCCTTGGGGTTACGCAGTTGTATCAAAGATGTGAAATGGCTACAAGAAATGAGATCCGGAACAGGCAAAAAGTGGAGCCAGGAGACTGGCTCCAAGGGTCCTGGCCTCTGCATATGTGTTGTAGCTGGGTGGGAGATTCCCTTGCTGAGGCTCCCACACCCTTCGTGGTGACCCTACAAACTAGAGACCAGAAGCAGTTGCCCAGTAGGACCAAGGAGGACAGAATGGTTAGCATAAGCAAGCGCAGCTGTACGCAGCCTAGTCAGGACGTAAATTAAGATTTCGGAATTGAAAAAAAAAAAAAAAAAAAAAAAAGATTTCGGAATTGGAAATGTTTCTTGTGAAGGAGTTTCAGAAAGGTAGCTAGAAAGAAGAACACATTCTAATTCTACAAGGCAGGTAGGAATCTCTTTTATTGCTTGATCTTCATTTCTCAAATAGTATACGTAACTCAAAGTACATGTTGTGTGTGTTTTGGGACTTTTAATAAGATTTCCCATTTTCTGGGGCGCTTGGGTGGCTCAGTCGATTGAGTGTCCGACTTCAGTTAAGGTCATGATCTTGCACTTGGTGAGTTCGAGCCCTGCATCAGGCTCTCTGGTATCAACACGGAGCCTGCGTTAGGTCCTCTGCCCTACTCTCTCTCTCTCTCTGCCTCTCTCTCTCTCTCTCTCTCTTTCAAAAATAAATAACATTTAAAACTAAATAAATAAAAAAAAAAAGATTTCCCATTATTGAATTTTATATATAGTGTATATTATTCTAGTATTTATATAAAATGAAAAGTACAATTAACTGTGTGCAGCCTTGCTTCTGTGCTTCTGTGTCCAGTAGACTTACATTTTTGTTTCTGAGATGGTTTTACATTATTTTGCATAATATATCTTCCTTTAAAATAACTACTTTCTGGGGCGCCTGGGTGGCTTAGTCGGTTAAGCGTCCGACTTTCGCTCAGGTCATGATCTCGCGGTTCGTGGGTTCGAGCCCCGCGTCGGGCTCTGTGCTGACTGCCAGCTCAGAGCCTGGAGCCTGTTTCAGTCTGTGACTCCCTCTCTCTCTGACCCTCCCCTGCTCATGCTGTCTCTCTCTCTCTCCTAGAAATAAATAAACATATTTAAAAAAAAAAAAATAACTACTTTCTTTCTTCTCTTAAACCTAGGGATTCCTTTCCATTTGATCAACAATTTAACATTTTGATGAGATTTATCGTGGATCAAACTCAGACTCCTAACCTCAAGGTTGGTGACTATTTGTCATTATAATTCAGCCTCTAGAAGTCAGATTTGCTTAAAATTTACTTTGTTTTGTACATGACTCATATTTGGCTGTTATGGATGAGTCTGCAGTGAACACTCTATACAACTGGGACAATGTTTCCATTTTTCTTGTTTGAGTACCTAGAGAAGTCGCTGGTTCATTGGGTAGGCCGTGTTTATTTTGAACTGTTAAAAGGTTGTACCCTATTATATTCATGTCAGCCCCAGTTACTCCACATCCTCACCAACATTTGATGATTATTACCGTTTTTCACAATATTTAAACCAGAAATTTCTGACGTGTTGAGAGAAGGTATCTTACTGAAACGTTTTCAATATTAACATTATAACACATGAAAATTAATTGTTATATAGTTTAGAAAATCATAACCTTTCACAACAAGACTGAAATCGAGGAAGGGTATGTATTTGAATTAGGTCACGTATGTCATCTCTCCTTTAATTATTAGCTTTCCTTGGGGTTTTACGATGGCTGCAATAAATAATAACCGTCTTCTCCTAAGGCCAAAGCCAGTTGAGGCATCAGTGGAGAAGTTAAGGTAGAATATCAGCATGATTGCTGAAAATGCTCCCTTGCAAGACATGGCCCAGGATGCCCAAAAGACAATGAGGTGCTTCCCCATCAGGTGGCTGAGTGGGTGGCCCCATGGCCTGCCCGTGGGAGCTTGTGCCCGGCAGGCGGCCTGCTGCCTTCTCCTCAGGCACAGTGACCTAACACTGAAGAGGACTGAGCTGCCCACCAGTCTTCCTGTTCCCAGACCTACCTCACGGCCACATCATGCCTTTTTCCCTGACGGGTGTGGCTCTGTGTGAAAACATGAATCCAGGAGGAAGGAGGTGTCCCCTCAGTTGTCTTTCCTTTTCTCTGATCAGATTTCTGATCAAACATTCGTAAGATGTACTTAATGCATATAATTATTGGATCTTTCAGGTCAAAGTTGCAATCCTGAAGTACATTGAGTCCCTCGCTAGGCAGATGGATCCAACAGACTTTGTAAACTCTAGCGAGACGAGGCTTGCTGTTTCTAGAATTATAACCTGGACGACAGAACCAAAGAGTTCAGATGTGAGAAAGGTATGTCTGAGAGCTCAAGTGCAGCTTTAAACACAGCATTGTCAGGCATATGCTAGGAAAAGAAATGTACTTGGAAACTTGCAAACCATCCCACACACCTATGTGGGATCCTTTATTACTCCCAAAGTTTGCTCTTGTCCCTTATCTTCCCTCTCCAGTTCCACCTAGTCCCAGTCTTCAAACTCAAGATGAAAGTCAGAAATCGTGTACAATGGGTTTATGGTTTTCTTAAGCATCTATTTTATTCTTTTTAAATGCAAAATCACTCATAGTTTTAGTGCCTCTTTAGGCCATTGGTTTTCCACATATCAGTTTTGTGACATGGACTTTGAGAACAGAATTGAAAATCTAAGGCTGCCTGGCCATAAGGTGCTTTGTAGCAAAAGGTGGCTGAAATTTGCTAAGATACGAATTCCTGAATTTAAAAAGAGCAAACAGTTTCAGATTATATACCACACTTGGAACACACTCTCTTTGACTTGGGGAACGAAATGGGGTGGTGGAATTCAGGTTTGGAAACACCCTGATATCAAGGTGTTGTTTTGTATTTTTATCAGCTGAAGAGTATTGGCTGCTTTCTTCAGAAATGACACGTTGAGGACCATATAACATAGGAAAGAGCACAGAGTACTATTCTTTTTCTAGGTGGTGCTCTGCATCAGTACCATTACAGGTTAATTATTACATGGGACACACTCTGTCTGTCCCTGACAGGCTGTGAGCACACAGCAGGTGTAAGCCGCTGCTGTGTTCGTCTCTCTTACCCTCTACCTGTCGATGTCCTGCTTGAGTGTTACACGTGGCCATTATTCTTTGACTTTACGTATAAACTAAGTAGCTCTTGTGAAGTACTCTTAAAAGTCAGCTTTCTCAGTTCTGTGCTCAGACTGCAGGTAATTGATTTGGGTTATTTGTGTGTAATCATGAGCCTTGCATTTTTTCTTCTGTGCCATGCTCCTTCCATACTGGGCCTACCAGTTGAGCCGTCTGGCCTTGAGCAGAGTTGATACTGTGGACCACGTGGGTCCAGGCGGGAAGAAAGGAAAGGATGAATCCAAGCAGTAGTTAGAGGGAGTGATAAATTTCCAAATGCAAATGAACACTTAAATCCTCTTGCACTGAGATTCAAAGACAAGAACAGAAGAATTCTCTAAAAAGTTTCTTTAGAAAGGTTACGGGTCATTTCAGTCCTGTGTCCATTGTATACGAATAAACTGAGTTACCCAGGGTCAAGGAACAAGGGCAAATCCTATTAAAAAGCACTCATTCAAAATTATTTACAAAAGATACATTTCACTGGCAACCTTTAATTTAGCCATGAAACCCATTTGGGATTAGGGCAGTACATACAGTAGGGGGTGGTTGAATGACTTGCTTAGGGCATACGTCACAGATACTTCTGTTGTACTTTTTTTAAAGTCACAAACAGATGTTTCTGTTATAATTTTTCAAATCACGAGAGTGGCGAAAATACAAAAGCCTCTTAAGGGCGGCTTTCTATCTTTAGTCATAACATGTAAATGTGTGTGTGTCTATATGTGTGCCTTTTGTAACTGATTGTCACTTAAGTATTCCTTCCTGTGGGACTGAGACATATTGTAGACTTACATAGTACCATAATTAGGGCCTGTCAAGGAGCAATTCATTGTCATTGTGATGTCCACTTTCTCTGAACACGCATATTAAAAACTTGTACTACAATTTATTTTCCTAACTTCTCTAAGGAGGATGTTATAGGAACTTTCTTCCTTGAGTTATTTGGCCTTGGGCTCCCAAACACTCAACTTATTTTAATCCTAGCTGAGGTCAGATATGGTTAAGATAGTAAATGTATTGCCAGAGACCATGTAGCCCGTTTACTGTTTGATCTTCAACACTTAATTTCAGTCATCTTGGGTCATGCAGTGCCGCTTCACAAAGCCTGGCCTCCACTGGTGTCCACTCGTGTCGCCTGCCCTCACGTCTTCCCCTTCCCCATCTTCAGGACACTTGGAAAGCTGTTTTTTTACAGCAGTAGGTCTCAGTCCTGGCTGCAGTTAAAATCCACCTCAGTTCCTGGGCCCTACTCCAGGTAACTTGACCTAACTGGTATGGTGTCAAGTGTGGACATTGTTCTGGGTCTCATTGGGATTCCCTCCACCATTGGCTGTTTTTAATGCACAGAGTTGAGACCCAGTGTTTTAGACCATTACCCTGGAGCTGAACCTCAAGACATACAAACTGCCACACAGTGTTGACCTGATTGCCGTAGATTCTGTGGGTCCGAGCCCACGCCTTCAGTATCTTCAGGACTGGGGCTTGACGCTGTTCCAGGGACTTTGCAGCCTCCCTATTTTCTCTCGCCCTGAGTCCCAGCACCCAGCACTGTGTCTACAGGAACAAAGTAAACAGTTAATAAATATTTTGAATGAATTAATGAATGATAAATGTCCAGAGAAAAATGATATCATTTTAAGTAGCATTTCGAAGCCATTATTTTTAAAACCATAATGTTGGAGGTGCCCCGTTTTAACTTCTGTGTTAGTTTTCTGTTGCATCATGAATCACCACAAATTTCGTAGCTTGGAAGTACAGGAATTTATTATGTCATAATTCTGTGACTCAGGAATTGGGCACATGGTCTTTGGGTCCTTTGCTCAAGGTCTTACAGACTGAAGGCAAGGTGTCGTCTGCGTCTTTGGTCTCATCTGAGGCCCAGTCTCTTCTGACTCACTGGTTCTTGGCCAAATTCCATTCGTTACACGAGGGCCAAGGGGCCCATTTTCTGGCTGTCAGCAGGGGGCACTCTCAGCTTGAAGGGGATGCCTGCCACTCCCCGCCACACAGCCCTCTCCCCAGCTTGGCAGTTGGTTTCATCAAAACAGCAGGAGAATATGTGGGGAAAAAAATTTCCCCAAACTTCCCAAATGTGATGAAAACCCTCAATCTGCCCATCTAAGAAGGTCCACAAACTCCCAGTAGGATAAGGAGAGACCCACAGGTAGACACGTCACACATCACAACCAGACAGTCGAGATGCAGACCCGAACAGAGAGTCTGGGAAGAGGGAGGCCCCCCTGCGTCCCCCAGAGACCCTCCATGTGACCCACCGCCAACGTCTCCTCAGAGACCATGGAGGACCTAGGCAGTGGGATGGCATTCAGTGTGCTGACAGAAAAACCCATCAACCAAATCTTCTCTGTTCAGCAGAACTGTTCCTCCAAAATGAAGGAGGAATTATACACAGCCAGGGCCTCCAACCTTGTTTAAGGGCTTAGGTCACCCGACCCAGGATACTCTCCCTTCTGATGCACTAAAGATCACCTTTAATCTAACTGAATTGTGGTGAGATTCAATTTAGCAGATGCATCTCTACATTCTGGGTCCCCTCTGGGATTTTGTAGTTCTCATGTTTATTTATTTATTTTGAGAGAGAGAGTGTGTGAGTAGTGGGAGGGACCCAGAGAGAGGGAGAGAGAATCCCAAGCAGACTCTGCGCTGTCACCACAGAGCCCGATGCAGGGATCAGTCACATGAACCGTGAGATCCTGACCTGAGCTGAAATCAGAGTCGGACACTTCACCCACTGAGCCACCCAGGCACCTTTAGATTATTTTAAATGTCTGTGACTCAAGGGGTGCCTGGGTGGCTCAGTCAGTTAAGCGTCTTGCTTCAGCTCAGGTCATGATCTCCTAATTCATGGGTTTGAGCCCCTCATCGGGCTCTTTGCTGACAGCTCAAAGCCTGGAACCTGCTTCAGATTCTATGTCTCCCAGTCTCTCTCTCTGCCCTTCCCCTGCTCGCACTCGCTCTCGCGCTCTCTCTCAAAAATAAATAAATGTTTAAAAAAATTTTTTTAAATGTCTGTGGCTCAAGATTCCTTGGCTTTCAGTTGTACACATCCAGCATAATTGTTTGATTAAAATAGGTGTGTTAAAGCACGGTATTCGGATCTATGTCCTTTTACCCCGTAAGTACTTACTCACAGACTATACGTTACTGCAGAGTAATCCTTCATGGACACCTAGTCACATTTATTGAAGTGCTCTGTTCTGATGTGCCATCGAAGGGACACTTCTATAATAAATACAGGTGCTATTGTAAGTGATGCAGACCGCCTTGCATAAGAATTTGGAGCATAATTGAAAGCTTGTCTAAATGAATAGAGCACTTGAATAAATTAAAATACTTAAAAATTGTGATGTAGTATATATCACTTTGCTCCAGGATCTAAACTTGTCATTATCATTTTAAGGCTGTAAAATAGTAAAACGGGAACTATTTTTATCTGGGTAAATTAATGCACCCTGTTTCTTTTAAATAAACTTGACGTTTTGCCGCATCTTTCATTCACAGTTACTAAAAGTTTTATCAGGTGCTGGGGAAACCTTGGTGATTTAAAAAGTACTATGTGATCACAAACCAAGTTTTCCTGCTTTAATTTCCGAAGAGTAGGGCAAGATTATATTCTAAATGACAGGAGAACCCTTGAGTCTGAAATTCGTGCAGTAAAAACCTTCATACTGGCCCCACCCTGGAGAACATTAATTTCCTGCAAACGACACTTGGGGAGTTTGCAGGCAGTATAGTTCATTCTGTAAGGTCCTCTTTTGGAAGACAAAGCTAATAGAACTCTGGATTTGTTGACTTTGGCATTTTTAATACTTATTTTGTTACCCTTTTTATCTTCATGTTTTGGGTGCCTCTTGTTGGAGAGAGAGGGGTGTGTAAATATTGACGATGTTTTGAAGAGGAGGGCAGAGCACGGCCAGAGCCAGAGCACAGCCGGTCCTCCTGGAGGGGGCTGGCCAGGCCCGGGCGCGCGGGGCCGGCAGGGAACTCCCTGCCCAGACCTTCGCTGGCCCCGTGTGTTCCCAGAGTCGCCTTGGTCTTGTTATAGTCGTGCTGGCCAAACTCTTCCTCTCTGAAGGAGCCGTGTTTTGTGTTAACCTGACGCATTAATAAGGAAGTGGATTCTAGAGTCCCGTCATCCTCTGACTTCTGCCCCTGACTTGCCCCTGCCACCAGGTGCAGGCATGAGCTGGCAGCTCCGCCTCGGGGTTCTCGTTTGTTGTCCGTAAAGTGGGAATAAATGCCCCAGCCTCAGGCTTCACTGCAAGGCCTAATTGCAGCATAGAAACACATAGGTGGATACTACTTCATTCGCTGTTGCAGCCGCCGCAGCGCTGTGGAGGGTGGTTTTGGCTTTGCTCTGCTGTTTGTGAAGCAAATGGAAATCTCTGGTTTTTTTCCAGCATTGGGAAGATTCCCCCCCTCCCCCCCTCAACCAAAGGGAATATAAATGCAGTAGAATTTTTAATGCTGTGTTTATATTCCAGGATTCAGAATCCCCATGGGTTTGTTTATCGTACGTGATTTGCTTACATTAGCGCCTGCCTGCTTTGTCAGAGGAGATCGCAGGCTTAGCCCCCAAACCTTGTCTTGGAAAATGCGGTAAATGAAGGCGTGGCGAGGAAACCTGGAAAGCACAACCTGCTGTTGCCTGGAGCAGGAGGGGGATGGAAATGGCCTTCAGAAATTGAGATTCCCAACTGAAAATGTTACATCTGCTTCTAGAGAGGCAGTGTGGCCTGGCCACAAAACTCAGGATCCTCCCGTCACACGGGTGTCCCTGGCTCTTTCAAGGAATGACTTGACTTTTTTGATCCCCTTTTGAGATCACGAACGCTACTACTGCCAGCAAGGAGGGTGGTTAGTAAGCACCTAGCTCATGGTGGAGGCTTGAAACTGGAAGGTCCTGTCTTCGCCGTTAGGTTACATATGCCCAGGTGATTTGTGAAGGAAGCCACATACCTTCACAGCTTACTGATAACCCTGTTTAAGCACTTGCTTCTTCTCATTAAATCCTCCCGCCTTTCCTGTTTGTCAGTCCTCGCTTCAGCGTAGTCGAGTAGGTGAGGATTTCCCCACTAGGTCAGCTTCCGCCTGCTCTGGGCCTGCAGAAGGAAACTTGGAAGAAAATTGTAAACAGGTAGATTTTCAACTATGTACTAATTTGAAAAAAGACACTTCACTGTTTGCATTTTAGATTATTAATACTGATTGCCCTTGTCAACACCCTGAAAAGATTTTGAAGAAACCTAAAATTAATATACTACTACGTTGAACGTGTGTGTGTGTGTGTAAATGTTTGTGTTTTGAGGTGTTTTATGACTAACTCCCTGCCCAAAACAAAGAGTGATGTTGAGCGCAGACCTATACCATATGACACATACTAAAGACGAAATGTCTGAAGGTTTTGAAAAAGTAACCTTTCTTGGGTGATTTTCTAAAACAATTTTAATGACAATCTGGGAGCAATAATTGTTTACTAAATTAGAAACCCTCTTTTCCTCCCAAAGTTTGAGTTTTCCCCAGTTAATACCAGCACTGAACCATTTATCAAAAGCTTTACTGACCTCCTGTCTCAAAGAATTTTCCTGCCTTCAGGGCAGTGGGATAGCCCCCGGAGTTGTTTTCATAGAGTGGCCGTAAGATCTGAACGACCTTTTGTTGCCCCCACCTACCAATTTCTACTGTGTGTGGGAATCAATTCCTTTTAAGTTGCCATTTGATCTTTAAAATAAATGACTGTAGAGTTATCCGTTAAGACAAGTCAGCAGCAACCTTGAGTTTTTGGTTGGCTGCTCACTGGCCCTGCCTCTTAGGAAAGGCAGGAGTTCAATGATGGGACAAGACGAGTGGTATGCTCCACTTTGTGATCCATTATTGACATGAGCTGTGCCCCAGGCCTTTTAAAATGAGTCTCTTCAACTCATCCCTGTGTTTGGAATTATTCCTTTAAAGAGAGCGTATCGATGATAATGATAAATATAACCCAGTTTTCTTCCTTGTTTGGATTCTAGTATTCTGACTTCCCACTAACACAGAGGGTTGTAGATACAATATTTTAGGACCATAAGAGTCTCATTCGTTTTAAAGCTGTGATATAAAATATTTTTAAAATAACATATTTAAATCCTATTTTCTATCCATTTCTGGAGCTTGGACCTCCGTAGACAGGATTTTACTTTGAAAACAGCTTTAATTCAAAGGGTGACTTTTGAAAACTGTATGAAATAATTTACATTTCATATTTTGGAAACTGTAAAAATAAGTTACATTCATTTCTATGTATAAATCACCACACATATACCATCTGTCCAACGAGTTGTACTTTCAAAATTCCCCATCTCTCTTCTGGATTTCTTACCAAAATTCACCGTTAGGGGCATTGAGAGAGAAGTGTCTGTAGTGGGCCCAAAGTTGAAGTGTGCTGTGGTGGCTTCCCCCGTGGCAGAGAGTCACTTAACAGCACATGGCCACGGATGAGCACCATGTCTAGGCCTGTGGCCTTGCGGCCCTTCTGTTCCTGAAAGATCCCGCTGATTATTATAATTTACTTTATGAAAAAACTCAAGTTCGATTGTAATATTAGCTATCCTGTCATTCTGGGGAGAAACAGGGTTTAAGTAAAGGCAGTGGCACATTTCACATAAAAGTACTGATACGTTTTATAATTTTGAAATGCCATTGTCATTCTTTAAAAAATAAGTCCCTAAACTGTCTTACTAAATTGGCAACGTTTTCTTTTTTCTCTCCCTCCTAAAACTCAGGTCTGTTTCTTTCTTTTTCTTTGAAGTGCATTTTTTCCCCCCTGCATGCGTTTTTTTTTTTTTCCCCCTAACATCTAATAAAAAGGCTTTTTTTTAAAATGCACAGGTTACTTTACTTTGCATGATTTTTGGAACTTACTCTTATATAAACATAGAGGTCATGTTAATGTATATGACATTGGTGGTGAAAAAGAGTCCTTCAGGTAATTGTTAAGTATATTTCAATAAATGAAATCTACAGGTGCATACTGCAGTCGGTAACTGTGTATTTTGCTGGAGTAAGGAAGGCACACAGGCCCCTTGGGATTTAATCTGGATGGAAAGGCAGTACTGATGACTGTAGTTGGAGGTCAGGGGAAGAAAGCGGGATACTTCTGCCCAGTGCTGTGCTTCATAATGCTTTTGATAGGTCTAAAAAGTAGTTTTTGATTCTGTAAAAAATACATTCTGATATTTTTAAATTCATAGTTTTTTTGAGGGGGGGGGTCTTTGGATTTTTTTTTTCCTTCTCCAGACACAAATAGTAGTTTTATCTTAACTGGACCCAAGCTTAATTTTAACATTGTGAAAGCATTGAAATATTTTGTGGTGTTTATTTCCAAAGCATTTCTCAAGCAGATATATATATTTTTTAATGTTTATTTACTTTTGAGAGAGAGAGTGCAAGTGGGGCAGGGACAGAGGGGGACAGGATCCAAAGCGGGCTTTGCACTGACAGCACAGAACATGATGTGGAGGCTCAAACTCGCAAACTGTGAGATCATGGTCTGAGCCAAATTTGGACGGATGCTCAGCTGACTAAGCCACCCAGGTGCCCCAGCAAATATGTTTTTTGTAACCCCTGTATCACGGGGAAAAATATTCAGAAAAATTACTGCAATCCTAGCAATTACAGTCTTTGAAAAATTCAACATAATCCTTTTATTTTTTTTTTTAATGTTTTTTATTTATTTCTAGGGGAGAGAGAGAGAGACAGCGTGAGCAGGGGAGGGCCAGAGAGAGAGGGAGNATTTCTAGGGGAGAGAGAGAGAGACAGCGTGAGCAGGGGAGGGCCAGAGAGAGAGGGAGTCACAGACTGAAACAGGCTCCAGGCTCTGAGCTGGCAGTCAGCACAGAGCCCGACGCGGGGCTCGAACCCACGAACCGCGAGATCATGACGTTAGCGAAAGTCGGACACTTAACCGACTAAGCCACCCAGGCGCCCCACAACATAATCCTTTTAGTCAGAGGATGTTCCTGATCCGTTTTTCTTTCTTTGGACTCCGAGAAATTTGTAAGAGATGCCATCATTTACCAAAGTGTTCTCTTGGCATAGTTGTTCTGAACTGGAACCCTCGGAACTAATTCCTCAGGCATCGTTTTTGGGTTTTTTGATTTTTTTAATGTTTTTATTTACTTCTGAGAGAGAGAGCGTGAGCAGGGGAGGGTCAGAGAGAGAGGGGGAGACACAGAATCTGAAGCAGGCTCCAGGCTCTGAGCTGGCAGTCAGCACAGAGCCCGCCCGACGCATGAACCGTGAGATCATGTCCTGAGCCGAAGTCCGACGCTCAACCAACTGAGTCACCCAAGCGCCCCCTCAGGCATTGTTTTGTAAGCCCGCTGTGCCTGCTGCTCCTTAGCACCGCAGAGAGCACATGACTCCCGGAGGAACCCAGGCTCATTGGGCTGCTGCTGCTTTGGCTGGCTGCTTCCCCACCTTGCTGCCGGGCTGCTCACTGCAGCGCAGTGCCCCGGTTAGTGGGGAAGAGGACAACACCCGCCTGAACACACAGCTTGTACCACATAAGCCTGGGTCGCTCCCCAAGGACTGGCCTTTCTCACGTCACAGGTGTAACAGGAGTTTTTCGGGTGTATTTAAGCTCTTCCTCCAGATTTTCTCAGTCGCTCCAGGTGGAGCTTGAGGGAGAGAGGTTGTTCAGGCCAGCCCCATGGCCGCCTCTGGAGGGCCACGTTCCCTCCAGGGTGCACTGGGAGCCCCGTCCAGGCTGACTTGGTAGAGTGAGCCACCTTCCACCTTTCCACCTTCTCCCATTGTTTTGTTCACATATTTAGCAGCCTTGTTTCTGGTGATAGGCAGCCTGGGCAGCGGCATTTAATATGAATGCGCTGTGGGAATCCACGGCCAGGGCGTGAAGATGCAGCTGGGGTGTGTTTTCCAGATGAAGTCAGGCTGTTTACAACGGATGATCTTAGTTTCTCCAGATGCCTGTCGGTTTGTGTTTTGTGTGACAAAGGCATCCTCTTGTTACTGCTTTACACACATGAAAACGTGTTCGTAAGACGACTTTAAAGAATGTTTTGACCAAAATACTTTGCTGCCCGTTACGTAAATGAATCACGTCTTCTTTTTCCAGGCAGCGCAAATTGTGCTGATCTCTCTGTTTGAATTGAACACTCCTGAATTTACCATGTTACTTGGTGCCTTGCCAAAAACCTTCCAGGATGGTGCCACCAAACTCCTGCACAACCACCTCAAGAACTCGAGTAACACCGGTGTGGTGAGTGCCGTGGCCGTGGCTGGGCCTCTGTGCTGACCCTGCCTGACCTCTGTGAGCCCTGATCTGGACTCACTCTCATAGAATGGCCAGCTTTCTGGTTCTCTTTCAGTAAATTGGGGGCGACTGGAGGACGGGGGCCATGTCTGGGCCTGCAGTCTTCCCAATGAAAGAGTGAACCTAGTGTTTAAATGTAGCCTTTTTCTTAAGTGAGATTGTTCAGTCCGTTAAATTGTCACGTGGTCACTTAGTCCTTTATTCATCAAACTGCTTAGTTTTTTCATACTACAAAATGGAAAGCCTCAGTTGTGTGTGTTACTCTGACACAGCTGACATCAGTCAGTTCAACTCGAGGAACCCCTGTGTGACAGCTGTCCATTTTGGGTGTATATGCACTTAAAATTGGTCTTGTCTTTCTTTAAAAAAAAAAAAAAAAAAAGTCACCCTGACTGTGCACATATTTATCTGGTCTTCCTCTGCTTTCGCTCCAGGGCTCTCCGAGCAACACGATTGGCCGGACTCCCTCCCGACACACCAGCAGCCGGACCAGCCCCCTGACCTCCCCCACCAACTGTTCCCACGGGGGCCTGTCTCCCAGGTAATGCCATTTCCACAGAAGTGAGGAACCGCCCCAGTGTCTGTCCTGCCTGTTCCCAGGTGTTTAGACCAAGCTTAATACCAGAGCCTGGAAGGGTACCTGCAGAGTGTGGGGTCTGGTGCTCTGTAGAATCTTGGGCAAAGTGGTCGAGTTCTTGGCAACGTGGCCAGTCTGTGCTAAATGTTCTTGGAGGTTCGTCCAGCTCTCAGCTAAAGTCACACTTAGTACTGTTCCACACAGAATGATTTAGAAATTCATGGCCATTCTGTAAGTGGTGGGAGCATCTTATGGTATTTGTCATCTAAATAAATCCCTGTAGTCCACACATAGCCTGGGGTAGTTTTCCAAGCCAACTGTTGCTCAGAGCATAGTTGCTGTAATTAGGGGCTCACGCTGGAGCCAACTGCTGCTCCAGAGAGGTATTCAGAACCTGAGAACTAAAATTAGATCATCGTTTTCAGACTGTTGTCGGGACCATGTGAAAATCAGTTTTACAGAGTCTGGGTCAGTGGCTTTAAATAAGGAAAATGCTCTGTCCCAGCATGTGTAGACTTCTCCATCTGGCAGGAGCCTCTAGAAGTCTCTGCATGGTGACAGGAGTGGCCCCAGAGTGCCCGGATACGTGAGGATCGTACGTGCTGTTTGTGTACAGGAAGGCCATCTCCTTGGTGTCTGTGAGCACAAGGATCAGGGGGCTGTGTCCTAAGGGTTGCCGACACCAGGATAAGACGCCATCCTCCCTTTAAGGGTCACCTTTTTAGTGGGAAGATATCAAAATGCAAGTGCCTTTTTACATTTAGCTTGTAAATGATCAAGAATCTCCCATCTTCCATCATTACGAATGAAGTTCTCTTGGGTTTCCCACGTTGTCCTGTATTTGGAACATATCAAATTTGTATTTTTCTCTTGGTGACACAAGTATTTTGTGTACTTACAGTATCCTGCCGTTCGTACTGCCTACTCCTACTCCCCTCAGTCCCCCTTCCCATACCATATACTGAGGTAGCACGAAGAGTGATATCATGGCCCCAGGTTTGGTCTGTGCCATCATGACGTCAGCAGGCTGGTGTAATCAGACAATTGGGATCAGAAACGACTTTCTGCGGGTGTCACTGAAGCTCAGCTTTTTTTTTTTTCTTTTTTTCCCCGTGTTAACATCTGTACCTAAAGTATGTGGCTCGTCTTAATGACCAGGGTCTAGTGTTCACAGCAAAACCAGAGTTCTGTTTCTTGGGGCCGGGGAGTGGGGAGGATTTTATGGAAGACTTGTAGTCTCTCTGTAAATTGTTTCTTTTGTCTACAAGTAATACTTCACCATTAATTGGGAAATCTGCTCTTCCATAATACACAGTTCATTCTCCTTTTATTTCATTATTAGGGTGATGCATCCCTTAGGTAATATGCAAAAGGTAAAACGCAAACTAAGTATTTTATTATTGTATGTGCTACTAGTCTAAGTAAAAGATTGGAGGCGGCTGCTAGCATAATCCACCAGAGCTAAGCATTGGCTGGGTATTAATCTTCATGGATCCCCAAATCATTAAAAATTTAATTTATTTTTCCAATTCACCATTTACTTTTAGTTGGTCTGGTCCTAATTTTTACTGTCAGGATTGCAGGTCAGTGGAAGAGATTTATTTTCAATATTAATATCATTTTCAAGATTAAGGCCAGTTGTGGCATAAATACTTTCTCGTCAACAAATTCTTTAGGGAATTTTTTAGTTGTGTCGTTTCTTTGTTTTTTTTAAAAGAATGTGCCCTCCATCAGTGCATACCTAGCCAGATGGCCTTAGCCAACTTGAACTCACAACTAAAACTGTCCAGAAGTAGGAAAAAAGGCTTCCTATCATTATATCACTGGAAACACTCAAATAGGCCTCATACTGTCACCAGGAAAATTAAAAAAGAAATGAACTCTTGCATCAAATAGGAGAATGGACGAAGTTACCCCCTTCTGAAGGAAGCGATAGACAAGTTCTACCATACATAGTCCCAGGTTTTTCTGAGCAGTGCTCTTGATGGGTTTATTTTCTGTGACCTACCATTCTTTTGAATCATCATAACCATAAAATGTTAGCTTTTTTATTCTTACGGGGAAAAGTTATCACCAATTGTTTTTAATCTGATTATTTTGCATCAAAACAAACTAGTATTTTTTTTTAGTCCAAAAATTCTAATGCTCAGATCATGGTGTGTTAATAAGCAGATATTCTAAAATGATGAAAAAATATAATTTGGTGATTTAAAGAAAGTTGCTAGGGAAGAAGTTGTTTTTATCAACGCAGTAGTATTAAGAAGCTGTAGCTAATGCTAAACCTTTGTGAAATGTTCCATTACTTGTTTTTTGTGTGAGAGAAGAATTACTCCTTCCTAGCTCGGTAGGAAAGACTGCTGGGCATTTGAAGAGATTTGTATCATTAAACACATCTGTATATATTAGCTCATTTTACCCAGTGTGGTTTGTGTTCAGTGAGAAACAGAGTTGCAAGGGGCTTCAGAAGTCACATGACATCCATTCCTTTTGAGATGAGGAAGCGGATGGCATTCCTTGCCCTGGTCTGCAGAACATTCTGGACAAACATGGCATAGAGCAGAGCGACACTAAATACCTCCCTTCTGTTACCCCCAGCCAGCAAGGGTAATTTTAGGTGGATTTTACAGCCATTGCATCAGAAGATCAACCGTTTACATAGAAGCAAAGTGGGGATGAACTGGGAAGCCCAGCCTTCCGTAAGCTGGGGTGGGGAATGCTGCATCTGTCTGCTTTCTGCTCCACCTGTTAGCAGAACTCTAGCAGAGATGGTCGCCCGGATTTCTCTTGTACCTGCACCCCAATTCAGTGTGTGGCTTAGAGAAGGTCTGTGGCGGCCTCTCCTCTCTACACTTACTTGCCTTCCCAAGTGAGGCCACAGCCGTCTTTGGTGGGGACTGGCTCTTAGGACCGTGATGAATGCCAGCCGCAGGCAGTGCTGCCCCCCCACCAGGGACGTGGTCTCTGAGGCCACGACTCTATCCTGCCCTCAGGTCACATTGTGCCAGGTCAGCTCAGGCCTCTCCCGGTGTCTGTGGCTCTTCTGGTTCACAGCAGCTGTTAGAACCATCTATCAGGGCCTCTACAGGCCCAGGCCGCTGAGTGACATTCACAAAGTGAAGAGGGCTGCCTGTCTTCTCAGACGCATTTTAATTCTCCTAGTAGGTGATAGGAGCTGGGGACTTGTAGCCCTCGAGTGGTGCTGTTACTCTGTCAGAAGGAAATTGCTTGTGGCGGCCTCCGAACCCCCGTCTGATTGGATCGCGGCCTCGGAGCACATCGACCCCCGCTCAAGTGCTCTGGTCAGAACGGCACGTTCTTGGAGTCTTCTTGCCATAGTCTCTGGGTTCCCATTTGAGTTGAGGCCCGAGATTCCTTGTCTGGCTCTTTGTAAAACAATTGGTTACATTACCCGAAACAGAATAGTTGTGTGTAAGTGCTCATGATGTCCTTCCCGGTGCAGACACACACCCCTGGTCTTACCCTTGGACTCTCATGTGATTTAAAAACATGACGCATGGTCACGAGGGGAAGGAATAAAGCAGCCGTATCAAGGGCCAAATTGTAAAACAAATTGTGTTCGTTTTCCTCTGTGGTAAAGCATTAAGTTTTGCCTCAGTTAACCCTGGCAGAGCCTGGTCAAGGAAGGAGCAGACCGGAAGACATGTAGGCTGCCGTGTCTTCCTGCTCCCCCATCCCCCACCCCCCCACCCCATTGCCTTGTGTTGTCTCTCTCTGATTGTCCTCTTCTGATCACTGCAGTCGGTTATGGGGTTGGAGTGCTGATGGGCTCTCGAAGCACCCACCTCCCTTTTCTCAGCCTAAGTCCACTCCCACCGCTCCCTCCCACAAGACTCTCAGGCGCCCTTCCTCTCCCAGGTAACCAGCTGCCCGCTAACCTTGTCCGGGCTGTCACAATATTATTGCCTTCCAGGGTCGTCTCAGGTCTTTGGGAAAGCCCCTGGCTTAGGGGAGCAGGAGTAGGGCCTTGGTGAGAAGCGTGCGCCGGTGCATGATCTCTGTTGAGCCCCACAAGTGCGGCTCCTGCTGTGTCACGGGGACAGATGACCATTTCATCAACTGACCAAATACATCAGCACCTACTGGAGCAAGCCTTTCGGCCCAGGCGGGGCCCCCAACCCCAGAAGGTGCCGGGGCAATGCCGTGCAGTCAAGGCAGGCAAGAGGGGCACAGTTTCCTTCATTTTCTTCTCAGGCAGACAGCGCCTTCCCCCCAAGAAGCAAATGAGACCTGCCCGTCCCAGACCATACCTGTAGTGCTCAGTCCCGCTGTTGACCGGATGGACTGATTCCTTGCATGATGCACCATCGCGTGCTGATAGTCTGATCCAGGAGGGATCCAGAGGGGGAAGCCCCAGGAGGTGTGTTCACTGCTACATCTCACTGAGGTGCCCTTACCTCTAGACACGGGAGGGGTCGGTACCCTTAGAAGCCCCTGGTTGAAGGCAACGAAGTTAATGAGTTTAGAAGGGAGTGGAGCTTCCTTCAGATTGGAGACAGGTGGCAAACCAGTGGGACAAAGTAGGGCCCAAGGATTCCTTTAGATACCTGCTTGCAGGTCCTTTGGGTGCGTATTACAGAGGTCCAAAGACCAGAGGACCCCTTCCCTCGAAACCTGAAACTACACGAACAGAGCATCGGACAGCCCAGCTGCCTTTGTACTGTGTGAAGTGAGTTTGTATCCTCTCAGAAGAAGGTCTTACTTTTAAAGGCCTCTTAGATAGCTTTTGCACAGAAGATTTATGTTTCTACTTTTGCCTGCAGCACGGTGAGGCTGTACATTGTGACAAGTCAGCTAAACGTTTTAACAACACCTTTCTTTTGAAACTCTTAGAGCTCCAAAAGTGACTTCCCAAGTGTTCAGAGAATCCTATAATGACTGTTTCTAGATACACAAAGTTAGGAGAGGGCACGGCAACAATGTTGCCACTACTGTGGCCCTTGTTCATGAAGCATGGCACTGTACTCACTGTTTTTTAAAAAAGGTTAGCCAGGCCTCAAAGTAGAAGTCCCAGTTATTGCTGTCTCCCAGTGCACTGAGCTGTGTGCCCTGATGGGCAGAGCTTCACCACCAGCCAGTCTTCCCAGCCAGCCACCAAGACCCTGTTTCTAGAATCGTCTTTCACACACACACAGTGACACAGCGAATGCTAATAAATACCCATAACTCGTGTTGACCAGCGGAGGGAGAGAGCATTGACAAGAGACTTTTACATTTAGAAAAACCCCATCAGTTACATAAAAATAGGAGGAAACCTTTGTCTCTCTGGTCTCTGCCAAAACTGTTGTGATCACATCACATGGAATGAGTGTCCCAATTCCATGCCCAGAGTCAGTGCCCTTCCCAGTGCAGATCACAACGGGGCGAGCCCAAATCTCTGTTCTGTCCCAGGGCTGGGTGACATGGCCTGACCTGCTGCCAGTAAATGTTGACTGGAGCTCCTCCTCTTCGAAAGAATTCTAAGGAAACCTTCTGGGGTCTCATCGCAGTGTTTGCGGGAGACCAGGAGCTGTCCTTCACCTGAAGGATTATGTCTCTGAGCCAAGACAAGACGGAGTACGGGGGCAGGTGGCAGACTGGGGTCCACCAAAGCAAAGCCTCCTCTGAGAAAGCCACTGCGTCCCTCTGGCTCTGCTCTCTGATGGTCTGCTGGCCGGAGCCCCGGCGTCCTGGATTCCCCGAGGGCAGCGCTCACAGGGATTTCCTTTTTTCCCTACAAAACGAGGGCTCGTAGGCATCGATTTGGAAGAAAACAAATGCCAAGACGTGAACTAGCGAAGAGAGTAACGTTGTCTGGTTGGCGTTGGGGAAAAACACCACTCTCCCTCACTGGGCGCTCATGGTGTTAGCTTCGTACCAAGGAGATACTTCAACCCTCAAGCTCCTGAGTCTAAAAGTGTCAGCACGGATTGGACTGGGTCACGCATGTGTATGCCTCACTATTGATCCAAAGTAAGAAGGAGGAACACTAATGGGCAGCATCCTTGATTGTCTTATTTTCAGACGAGGCTGCCATACTAATGCCAAAGTTCTCTGAACGGAAGTATTTCAAGACCGTTCAGGTTATGAATGATGTGATGAATGAGGTGGAAGATAACGTTATCTGAAGCGACATATGGAAAATAATATTGTGACATCCCTTAAAAAGCTGAACGTTCCGCCAGACTTGCTCTTATCCATCTGTCATTCTTTCCGTGTTTTTTTTTTTAACCTTTTTGCATGGGCTATGCTATTATTTTTGGTTGTTGTGATTAAAAGTATTTTAAGGCATCTTTTTACATCTCGTATACATATTTTTTGTTTGAGTCATACTCAGTCTTTATATATAAAAAATAGTGTACTGGCCAGATGTATAAATGCCTTTGCTCCCATGTAAGCTGGTATTATGGCTTTCTAGAAAGGAGGGGCAGGGACCCTCTGTGCTCCTTAGTCACGCTTTCCCCACATTAAAGGGGTGTTGCCTCATAGGCAACCTTATGAACTTAGCAGGGGTTGACATCTTAATTCCATTGAGGTATTTTGTTCCACTTCCCGTCAGCATGTACGTGGGGTTTTAGCGGCAAGCATGTTCATTCACATTTCTTTGTGTTTGCCGCCAGCGCCCATCTTTGAGTTGGCGTCTATTTTTGTGGACTCTTCCAAGTACAGTTGGGGTGTAGATTTCCTTTCATCAGAAAACAAGAAAGTTCTATCTGGCTGAGGTTTGCAGTTTTAGGCAAATAGCTCCCGTCTCTGAAGGGGACTTCCGGTGTCATGCTCCAGCAGGACTGGCCCAGCCGTAGAAGACCCGTGGACCGTTACAACCGTGGGCCAGTAGACATCTGGCTCCTCCCAAGTGAGAATGGTCCCCTTCGTATCTTGCTCATCTGCCTAAACCTGGTGGGGAGGGGGCTTAGTAAATATCGTTTGTTTGTAAGCTGCCGGAGACAGCCTCTTGAGAAGGCACAGGGTTGGTTGTGTCGTGCATAGGAGAGGTTCCTGCCAACGAGGGTCCAGTTTCCATTACTTCTTTTGAAGAACGAAAGGTGGCGTGTCTTTCGTCTTGAATGGTGTTGACGAAGGCTTGCTTACACACACCCAAGGACACTTAGTGTCCCTAGCAATCCTCAGTATAGCTCAAGACTCCCTGGACGTTCACTTAGACCAGCTCATCTGAGCTTCTCTTCAAGTTTGCCTGAAACAGGTGACACTCAAACGAACGTAGTTGTTTTGACTTTGCCCCTGGTTGACTGTTGCTTCATGTTTTGCCTTCTTCATGCTGTGCCTTATCCTGTGCTTGTCCTCGATACTCTCAGTGAGGGACGGCCGTGGGCCCTGATCTCAGGACATGCTTCAGTGCACTCTCCAGACCTTTGAAAGGCTGCCTGTTGACAACCCCTCATGACACCCAAAGGCTTTTGGGGATTTTTGCTTAGTTTCCAGTTTTGCTCTGCTCAGCCAACTAAAGGAACAGTGGTTGACATCACTTTTCTGTAAGGGGCAAATATTTCCTGCTTTTAGAGATACTTCTAGACAGCCATGTAGGAATGTGACTCATCTGTGTAAGATCCGCTTTTATTATAAAACACAAAATAAAATGTCAGCACCTTGGAAGAGTTTGATATTCACAGCAAGCCCCTGGGTCAGATGGCACGGGAGACTGTCAGGAGCCCTTCAGTAGGGTAGATCTGACTTGGAATCGTTTTTGAATGTAGGGTTTTATTTCACACATTTCTAACCCGGACAAGCATTACACAGTCTCATGAGGTCGTTTGCTTTGCCCATCTGAAACTTGCTTGTGATACTGGCTTTATTTTGAAATGCCCGTCCCTCTTAATCTGTTTGTACATTTGAGACCAGTAACAACAGACTCCTTGTTTTCATCTTCAAGATATGAAAGTTATTTTTCCACTTTCATTACCTTGTGCATTGTCACCAATTGTCACCCTTTGAGTTCTTGCATTCTCGTGGTGATTGCTGTGCCACCCCCCCACCCCCACCCCCACCACCGGGTCTTACCGCTGATGTGATGTGTTCGGGGCCTGGTTTGACAAGGAACACGTGCAATTGTCAAGTGGTGGCGCTCTAACAGAAGGTGTCTCCTTTTCATTCCACCTCACCTAACGACCCACAACTGTGATTCTGCCTCATTCCATAAACTGTTGCAAGTAATTTAAGCCTCTGCCTCAGATTTATGCGTGTGCTTTAATTTAAGAAACACAATATCTTTTGATCCTTTAGCATGCTGGAGTATGATACAGAGAACCTGAACTCTGAGGAAATTTACAGTTCCCTGCGTGGAGTTACAGAAGCCATTGAAAAGTTTAGTTTTCGAAGCCAAGAGGATCTGAACGAGCCAATTAAGCGAGAAGGCAAAAAGGACTGTGATATTGTAAGTATCCCCAGGCTGACGGAAGACTGTCTTTCTTTCTCTTTCTTTCTTTCTTTCTTTCTTTCTTTCTTTCTTTCTTTCTTTCTTTCTTTCTTTCTTTCTTTCTCTCTCTCTCTCTCTCTCTCTCTCTCTCTCTTTCCTTCCTTCCTTCCTTCCTTCCTTCCTTTCCTTCCTTTCTTTCTCTTTCTTTTCTTTTCTTTTCTTTTCTTTTCTTTTCTTTTCTTTCTTTTTCATTTTGTTTATTTCTGAGAGAGAGAGAGACAGCGTGAGCAGGGGAGGATCAGAGAAAGAGGGAGACACAGAATCTGAAGCAGGCTCCAGGCTCTGAGCTGTCAGCACAGAGCCTGATGTGGGGCTTAAACCCAAGAACCGTGAGATCATGACCTGAGCCAAAGTCGGACGTTTAACCGACTGAGCCACCCAGGCGTCCCAGAGGACTGTATTTCAGTTAAAGAGACTGACCACGTGAATCCTGAACTGCATCACTATGTGTATCTTGTAGTTAGAATAGTATTATTTTAAGAGGCCCAAGGCAGCGTTACGAAATTTTGAGTGAAACTCAGCTCTCTTTATGAAGAATGCAAGCTAGCTTTCCCCCTCTGTTTGCCTTTGTTTCCCCCGGACATATTTTTGTTCCTGGGGTGCGATGAAAATAATAGACCTGCAGCAGACACCAGCGTGGCTCTCTGGGGCTCTAGCCCCTGCAGTGGCTGGCGGATCGGTGGGAAGCGGTGGTGCAGCCGGAGTGCTCGGGCTCAGTCCTGACGAGTCTTGCCAGGCCGGTCTCAGGGCCCAGGAAGGGTCGGCAGGAGAGGTGCTGGCACCCTCGGAGCTGCGTGAAACAGGGGTCGAGGGTCAGATAGGAGGGTGGGCCTGGAGGAAGCAGAGAGGCGGCAGCGAGCTGGCACAACTTACCTTTGCGGGTGGCCGGTGTGCCGCGAGCGGGCCTGTCGTGTTGGTGGCGAGGTTTGGGGAACGGCACGCACACCGAGGAGACGTCCTTGCCGGTGTCCTACCACACCCGGGGATCACCGGAGGGTCTTGGAAGGAGTTTTAACCAGGGACGTGGTATGGAAGCTTGCTGTCACTCTGCGACCTGGAGGAGGTAGGGCTGGACAAGGCACAGCTGAAATACAAGAGCCTAAAATCTCTGGCTCAGGCTACTAAGCACGGTTGCCGTTCAGTTCAGTGAGATCATGTCACAGGAGGAGGAAACATGTATGTTAACGCCTTTGGAACCTAATTCAGTGGTGGGTGTATGTGACCTGGGGGACACGGAGTACCCAAGCAGACATACTCCTCCGGCCTTTGCAGATACCAGTCTGCACTTGGGGCTGGCCGTTTGGGCTGGAGAGGGAGAGTCAGGAGACGTTGACTAGTTGCTTGATGATAACTAAAAAATGAGTGAAATCAGCCAATAAAGGGTAAGGACAGAATCCTAAGGAGCATCAACACTAAGGGAAAGAAGGAAGAAAAGGAGTCGGAAGAAAAGCTACAGGTTACTACCTGGGAGACCAGGATAGTGGGGTCTCAGAGAGTTTAAGGGACTCTTTGGGGAAGAGCCTTGTAGCCAAAGAGGCCATGCTGCCAAGAGAGGGATCCGTCAGATGTGACAGGAAAGGGCACCACTGGGCTTTGTTTTTGTTTGTTTGTTTTTTACCATCTGCATCAGGTATTGTATTTTAGCTGAAAATACATAAAACACATGTATTCACCATTGTTTTGATGTAGAGCCAAGCCCTGTTCTTGGAGCATGGGCCCACTGTTTGGACTGCCATGTTCTTAAATTTTACACATCGTCATGGTCTCCAGTTTCCAGACCTGGTTTCTTCCGGGAGCCCAGTGGATCTTGTGAGCAGCGTGCAGAGAAGAGCTGAGAGCGGAAACCACATTGCAGTGGGTTAAGGAGCAGCTTGAGTAGCAAACTAGGCATCGAGGAGGGATCATTGGGGACCTTTTCCCTGGGGAGACTGGACCCATCTGAATGCAGATGAGACCAGTGAGAACAAGAATGTGGACGATGCCGTGGCAGGGCGTGGGTGATTGTGGACACGGGTCCCTGAGGACATGCCAGGGGGTGCAGTCTGGGCCCTGGTGGCGTTGGCTGGGAAGCAGGGTGGGCTGGGGTGATTTGGGGCACTCCCACTGACCTCTCCCACTTTCTGTGGGCAGAAAGAGGTTGGCCTGACTCCAGGGTTCGGCTGTGGTGAGGATGGAAAAGGGCTCCAGAGCACCTGTGGGGAGTGAGGGCTCCAGTTAGGCACACCGAAGCCCTGCTGGGAACAGGAGAGGCCCTAAGAGAAGGTGGATGCTTTGGTGTATATTTTTCTGCTTCTTTGTATGTATTTACGCATCTGTACGCTCAGAGAGGCATGTAGCATGTAGATATTTATGCATCTGTACGCTCAGAGAAGTGTGTAGAGTGTGTCTGTTTCTCACGGGAGTGCTGTCCTGGCGGCCCCCCTGCTGAGCCCTGCGTAAGAGCTCTGTCCCTGTCTGCATTCTTCTGTGGGGGTTTTTATGGCTGGGTCAGAATTCGTCACATGGATGCCACAGTCATGTCCTCAGTGCCCTGTTTTGGGACATTTGAGTGGTTTCCACTGTGTCAAAGCATAAAAGTTCTTTGGTGAAGTAGAAAGGGGCGAAGCTTGTTGCTGAGTGGAGGTGGTGAGCGAGGCACGGAAGGCTTGTGGTTGGGATTGGCAGGACGCGGTGTGGGAGCCCCGAGGCCAGACAGACAGAGGGCGCCTTCAGGGGATGAAGTAGAAACTGAGTTGTTGAACAGGTTGGAAACTGGCAATCTTCGCTGCCGATGGCCAGAATGTGAGGGAAGCTGGGCCGGGTAGGAAAGTACGTTACGTGTGAAAGACTCAGGAGCCAGCATCTTTGGGCTTGGTAAGTGGCCCAGTGTATAAGACAGCCTTCGACTAGGACGAATGTCAGATCCCCTGGGAAGGTCGTTCCCCAAGCCGGGATGCACACATTCACGCACAGGAGAAAGTCCTTCCTGATGAGTGATTACAGAAATGCAACAAACATACATTTGAGGCTCCGCTTTATTTCTGAACTGTTCCGCTTTGCTTCATCAGGTAGAAATTAGAATATTTAATGCTTTGGGATATAAGGAACCGGTGTACTATTGGTGGAATGGGAACTTGATACAGTTCCTTGGAGCTTAGTAACATTATATTTTGCCTAAGTGGTTTTAAGTTTCATATCCTTTATCAAGTAATATAACTTTTGACAATCCATGCTAAAGAACAAATGCAGCAACAGGTAAGAAAGGTATTACTGTTACAGTGTAGTGTATTTCAGGTTCTCTATGATAGCAAGAAACAGAAACGTTAAAAAACAACAACAGTAGATAGTAGCAAGAGCTGTCCTTTGAGCATAGAGACCCACCGTGAGACTCACATGTGCCCACGGACACTCTGCCTGGACCCAGAGCTCTCCATTCGAGAGATCAGGGACCAGCTCACCTTATCATGGGGAGCGTATACAGGGAGTTCGTGGCCGGCCCGCAAGGAGGGCAGCAGGCTGCAGTGCTGGCACATGAGGTGTCTGCAGACACGCTCAGGGGCACCTGGGGGCTCAGTCTGTTGGGCATCCGACTTCAGCTCAGGTCATGATCTCACAGTTTGGGAGTTCAGGCCCCACGTCGGGGCCTCCTTCGGATTCTGTCTCCCTCTCTCGCTGACCTTCCTCCGCTCATTCTCTCTCTTCCTCTGTCTCTCAAAAATAAACATTTTAAAAACCTTTTACAAAAATGTTTACGTAAAAAGTCACCACCACATACAAAACAGACTTGACACGTAAATTAACAGACTTTGCATGTAAATTAGCGAGTGGAGAGGGGAAAACGTAGGCATGTTCAGTTCCTGCTGAGGCGCTTTATAAGTTAGGTGTTTGTAGGTTGAAATCCTAGGAGCTATCCTTTCGTCAGCAGCCAGATGTGCAGGGAGAGCTCCGGCTCTCCTAATATTTGTGAAAACGTAAGGGAAGAGCATGTTAAAAGTCCTTAAAAGGAACTGACTGCGTGCTGTGCCTCAGGTGTCCCGTGATGGTGGGGTGGCGTCGCCCGCCACGGAGGGCCGAGGAGGCAGCGACGCGGTGGAAGGCGGCAGGACGGCCCTGGATAACAAGACGTCCCTCCTCAACACCCAGCCTCCACGCGCCTTCCCTGGGCCGCGGGCGCGGGACTACAGCCCCTACCCCTATGCGGACACCATCAGCACCTACGACAAGACGGCCCTGAAGGAGGCCGTGTTTGACGATGACATGGAGCAGCTGCGAGATGGTTTGTCTTTCTTGGCTCGATTACCCCCGCCCCCTATCCCAGCATGTTCCCCTGGGGCTCTCTCGCGTCAGGGTGGCTCTGGGCCTGGAGGGCAAACGGAAAGGCAGACCGTCACTTGGGTGGCTGCCGACTGAGCTCCCGCCATGCACTGCAGCATGGAAGGCACGGCTGGGCCCACAAGCACGCACACACAGCCCCTGCCTTCTGGACGCTGGCAGCCTGCTCGTGGAGGCGGTCCTGAAAGCAGGCCCCACACGCTGGCCTCACCTTGTGGCTGCACACCACACTTCCTGTGCAGCGAAGGAGGGTCAGCTGTGCCCCTCGGGGAAGGAACGAGGGCCTGAGCGGAGGTCAGAAGTGCCGGGGGAGTCACAGTCAGTGGGCAGGGAGCAGGGGCCCAAGCCCTCCCAGCACAGGCTCGACGTCCGTGTGTGCTATCCCAGCCCCGTGCTGTGAAACAAAGGCCCTGGGGCACCGCTGGGGGACCCCCCCCCCTTTCTCCCACACCGACATTTTAACCGGGCCTTCCCGCAGCTGTCTGCCTTGTCGCTCCAAGACGGGCTCTGGCGTCTGCTGAGCTCCTGCACTCCCATGTGCTTGCAGCTCACCTGTGTTCCATATGTACGTATATATCTACCGAGACAGAAGGGATTATTCCCATTTCACAGGTTAAGAAACTAATATTCAGAGGGTTAAGTTATTTGCCCCAAGTGTAACCTGCTTGGCACTAACAGGACCAGCCTGATGTGTGCTTTGTTTTCGGGCACTTGTGTTAAGACCAGTGTCCGTTACTGAGGAACAAGTGAGTTAAGCGTGCATTGGTATGATGGTGTTTTTATCTGGAACTTAATTTGTTCTTTTTTCACCTGATTGTCACATTCACGTAATAGTCATTTTTAAAAAATTGTATGTGTGTGTCGGTTTGTTTCCAAGCCTTTTGTTTTGTTTGTGAGTTTTGAATGAAGAATTAAAATCAGCACCCTAAATTAGAACTCTAAACAGTTAGCATTTACTGTGTGTCATGAAGTGTAGAGCTTGCTGGGGACACGGAGGCAAATGAGACACAGTCCCTGGCCTCAGAACAACTCATGGCCTGTCAGAGAAAAAGGACTTAACAGTGGCACTAGAAAGAGGGGGTGCCATGCTAGAGCAGATGCTGGTTTCCGTGGGGCGCCTGCCTGGCTTATTGCAGAGCGCGTGACCCTTAATCTCAGGGCATGAGTTCAAGCCCCGTGTTGGGCGTGGAGCCTACTTTAAAAAAAAAGAAGAAGGGAGAAAACTGTGCTCTCACAATGGATCAGACAGTGATGGGACCCTAACACAGAAGTGAAGTCCCGCAGTCATTTGTTTTTTTTTCTTTCTTTTTTTTTTTTTTTTAATGTTTTTTTTTTATTTATTTCTAGGAGAGAGAGAGAAAGACAGCGCGAGCAGGGGAGGGTCAGAGAGAGAGGGAGTCACAGACTGAAACAGGCTCCAGGCTCTGAGCTGGCAGTCAGCACATAGCCTTATGTGGGGCTCGAACCCACGAACCGCGAGATCATGACCTAAGCGAAAGTCGGACGCTTAACCGACTGAGCCACCCAGGTGCCCCCCGCAGTCATTTGAAAGCACATGTCCTGGCAGTTCGTTGTGGGTGGCCGGTGGGTAGTGGCTAGTACGTTCCAGGGCAACCCCAGGGTCTGTGTACTGGGCCCTAGGCTATTGGCTTGGTGCTTACTATGAACTGCACTTTCTAGGAGTAGTGGGCTGTTTCCTTTTATTGTTCATAGAATCGACACATCATTTAACTTACCCATTTGTTGGTCTTGTTAAAGATGGAACAGAGATTGGAGTGTTGGTAGTTATGTATTTACCAACTGCATAAAAGGCTTACTAAACTTACTCAGCTTACGTCAGGCTTACCAACTTACTAAAGGCTTCAAAAGAAAGTGGGAAGGCAGGGGGGAAATGATTGAGTTCTTTAACATTTCAAACTTCCTGTGTGTTTGTTTTCTTGCACTTCAGAAGCTAAAAAAAAAAAAAAAGTATACAAATTTAAGTAGTTCCTGATGATTTGTCTTTGCCTTTTCCTCCTTTCTATCGAAAGGAACTGTTCAGAGTTGGGGTGTGCTAAATGTTCATGGAAAGAGACAGGACAGGTCTTTGATGATTGAAGTCCTTTTGCTAAGTGGTTTTGGCGCGTTGTGTAGTCTGCAGACAGTCCACGCATTGTCTAAGCACCTTGGTTAGTATTTGTTTGCTGTGCTGGTTACTAAGCCCTGGATACTTGGGAAGGGAAGGAATGTCAGAGAATCAGACGGGTCAGTGAGGAGGGCCTGGAGGAGAATGTGCGCACGTCAGCGGGTGTGACCGCGGGAGGGGACTGTCCAGCGGTGGCCTGACTTAGAGCTGCTGCAGTGGAGAGAAAGTCGGGGGAAGGGACTTTCAGATGACTTCTCCTGCTTGTCTGAACCAGAGTGGGGAAAGGTGGTGAGGGAGGGTAAGGGTGCTGATACTGGTACTTGACACCTGTTCCCGCATCTCTGTTTTTTCATATTTGGTGCGACGGCCTGCTGAGGGTGTCAAAAGTGGGCAGCAAAGAGGGTGCAGGGCCTGGGAGGGGTGATGGAGGAGGGGCCGCCTCTGGGAGAGCGGAGAGCAGGCGGAGGGCATGTCCACGGCCGAGTCCTCGTGAGGTGACTCGTCCCGTGCCGGTGTCTCTCCAGTGCCCATCGACCACTCTGACTTGGTGGCTGACCTTCTGAAAGAGCTGTCCAACCACAACGAGCGGGTGGAGGAGCGGAAGGGCGCCCTGCTGGAGCTGCTCAAGATCACGCGGGAAGACAGCCTGGGCGTCTGGGAGGAGCACTTCAAGACCATCCTGCTCCTGCTGCTGGAGACGCTCGGAGACAAGGACGTGAGGCGCCTTCCTCCCCCTTCCCCCTTCCCATGGGACGGGCCGTTTAGTCCCGTTCTGCTTGCCCGTGGCTTCAGCTGGGCTTTCCGTTTTGCGCCCACTGTCGACATGAACACATTTCCCCAGTATTTTCTGAGCACCGGTTAGCGAGGCCGTGTTTCTGGCAGAGACAGGCCCCATTCCTAGCTTGCTTCTGTGCTTGCTTGTTCTGAACTGGGTTTGCAGGAGCTGCAGGGAGGCGTGCGCCTGCCTCACGTTACCGTGTTTAGCACAACGTTTCTTACACCTTTGTTAGCATGGAACAGTTTTTTACAGTGAGGTTTCTTCCTGTGTGAGTTTTAGGTTTCATGCGTAACTGAGAAATAGAGACGTTCAGTTTTTACAAGACCCCCTGGGTGCTGCCTTCCTGGGCATTCTGTGCAGGTTCAGCCGGCACATGGGAGCAGTGCCGGTAATTTTAACTGGCTCAGCAAGAAATTCTAGAGCACAGATTATGGTCTGTTATCTTCTGTTATTTTTTAAATAAAAAGTCCTCTTCACACTGTGACACGTGAATGTGACCGGCGAGGAATTTGTGCCGTGGCCCGGTCCGTAATCCACACTGGGCACCACGCAGGTGGCTGCTAAAGCGGGAGGTAACCTAGTCAGAGCCCTGCATTCTCCGGTCCGTGCGTGGTGCCTTACGCGGAGCAGCAGCAAACACTGGGAATTATCTGAATGAAGCTGTAGAAGTAAAGTTCCACCTCCGCATCGGGCTTTGTGGAGGCTGCGGAAAGGACGAAGTAGGTGTGATGAAGAACTCCAGGGCAGGGCAGGTGGATTTTGAGGAAGCTCTGCACAGCCCACGGTAGAGGTCACTCTCGGGGTCATGGTGGTGGGGACTTTGACGGAGGACGCATGGCGGGGGGCAGGCGAGTGTCGTGGTGACTGTGATTTCTTTCCTATGCTCCAGGTTAGTGTTGGGGGGGGGGGAGTACAGATGGAAGGACAGTGACGGAGGTGACCCCCTTCCAGCCTGCTGGGCTGGATCCACCCCTTTGGGAGGTGAAGTGATGGCAGTAGGGAGCGAGTGGGTAGACAATGCGTCAGTGTGCAGGTGGTCCAGGCGAGTGACAGAGAATTAGGAAGCACTCAGTTTGGTGCAAACCCACCTGCTTTTAGTGAGATTAGGAGCCTGTTTAGAACGGTTTTCCTTCCAGACAGTGCAGCTTGGGCCTCAGACCCCTCGAGGCGAGTGCACAGGACCCTCGGCCACGACCTTATCACGCAAAAGGTCGGAAGTGAAGATGGGTCCATGGCTGCCACACAGGCCTTGTTGATGGAGTGGCTAGATGTGTGTTACCTGTTCTTTACCAAGGGTAGTTTGCTACCTGCACCTCAGAAAAGCTGGGAACCCTCCAGGAGACTGATAATGACCTTAGATGTATCGTCCTCATTCGGTCTCACGTGGCCCTCTTTTGGCTCATTCCAGACACCGCCATCAGGGCCCTCCTGGACGCTGGGCCCTGGGAGTGTCCGTGCAGGCATAGCGCCTGCCTCTCGCCGCTGGCTACCTGAGCCTGTGCCTCAGAAGCAGTGTGACCACTGTCCGGTGCCGGCCGGGTGCCAGGGGGTACGGGCCCGGCTGCCTGGTGTTGCTGCCTACTGCATTAGGGAAGCACTGTGGGTAGTTGCTGATGTCTTCCCTTGCTTGTGTGCCACAGCATTCCATCCGGGCGCTGGCATTGAGAGTTCTACGGGAAATTCTGAGAAACCAGCCTGCAAGATTTAAAAACTACGCCGAGCTGACGATCATGAAGACTCTGGAAGCCCACAAAGACTCCCATAAGGAGGTAAGCCAGGCCTCTGGCCCCGGAGCCAAGTAAACGGGTCTGGGGGTGCAGTGAGGCTGTGGGAAGACAGGAGTACGCAGCCTGAGACAAGGAGTCACTCCCTTCGGGGAGTGGGAGGATGCCTGGGTGGCTGAGTTGCTTAAGTGTCCAACTCTTACTCAGGTTGTGATCTCATGGTTCAGGAGTTCAAGCCCTCCATGGGGCTCTCTGTCAGCGTCGAGCCTGCATGGGATTCTCTCTATGCGCCTCCCCTGCACGCACACACACTCTCTCTCTCTCAAAAATAAGTAAACATTAAAAAAAATGTTAAAGAAAAAAAAGGAGTCGCTCCCTTAGAGCTTGGCTCAGGCTGTGGCGCAGGGTGGCAATCCCAGTGGCGGCTGAGCCCAGGTGCTGTCAGGGCCTGGTGCCACTTGGTAGCTTCCTGACTTCCTTTCTACATGTATAGGCCTGATGGGTCCCTCAGGGATTTCCTGGTCGGTGGTTCCCAGTCACTGTAGTCAGAAGGAGGGGTCTGCCCTTTCCTGGGGGCACTCGGCACCTGCCAGACCAGTGTTGGGCAGTCGAGGCTGGCTCGGAAGACAGACGTGCCTCCTTGCTCCACGACCTCTGACAGGCGCTTTCGGCTTCCGAGTCTCACTGTCCTTGTGGATAAGGTTAGAGGTGGATGTTGTCACAGTTCTTGTGAGAATTGAGTGACACGGCCAGTGATGACAGAGGTGCTACATATGCCACGGCTGTCTTCCTCCCTCCCCTGCCTTCCCCTCTCAGTTGCCCCCTCTGCACGATCGGGACGAGTGGAGGCAGCCGTGTCCTGCCTCTCCCCCTCACTCGCGAATGTGTAAAATGCTAACCACCTGCCCTGGCACCTCGGACGCCCACCGGAGAGCTGGAACAACGTGTCTCTGTGCCCCACACGCTTACAACAGGCCCCGAGGACGCTCAGGAAGTCATCGGCTCATTGCTCACTGCAGCGTTCAGGCCCCGGGGCTCCCCAGTCCTCCCAGTGCATAGGGACCGACAGAGAACAGTGAAGTCCGTCACACCTTTCCAGTCAGGGGCCCTGTGGGAGCCAGAACTGTACACCTAGAGGTTTAGAAAACTTGCATGGGTTTTCCGAGTGACACATAACCACTTGTTCAGTTGAGTCCGCGGCTCAATGTGACTCTTGTGAGCACATTCCTGGATTAAGGGAATGGCAAGAATACGTCAGCAAAGACTCTGGACCCTAAATCGTGGTGTTTCTCTGTTTAGCAGTTTATGTGGCTGCCAGATGGGGACAGGGCGATCACGGACTTGGCAAGGGCAGGGGGGTCATGCTCTGTGCAGGCCTCTCCACCTGAGTCTTCGCACAGCATAGGCTCCTGAGGTGATAGATGTGCTTTTAAACCGTTAACGCTTCGAAAATCTGGCTTCGCCGTATGCTAGTGCACACCACTCCTGTTGGAGCAGAACACGTGAGCTGGTGTGGTCAGCGCTGTTATTCCTGCGTGTGGGAGGGGGGGCCAGGAAATGCCACCATCTGTCCGGCGATGCGTGACAGTTGTGGGTGGGACCAGGACATGAGGCAGGTTGTGTGTCTCTTAAGGGGCAGCCGGCCCAGCATGTGCATTTTATTTAGTTACTTATTTTTAAGCCTAACAGCTGCTGCTTAAATACCTGATGAAAAAGTGAAGTAAAATTGATTGTTTTCTTGCACACGTCTGATGCTGGTTGTGTCCTCTGGAGAGAACCCGTGGGAACGTGGCATCAAGGTGAAGCTCAGCCCTCCGTGGTGTGTGGCACTGACTGTCCCCTTGGAAGGTGTCTGTGTCTAAAGCTGGCTTCCTGATCTTAAACTTTTGAGACTTCGCCAGTGGACCCTACAAAGTACGAGTGAGCAGAATTAGATAATCCATTTCTCACTGAGCTGTTTTCTGGAGGGATCTTGTTTTTAGAGGTGTTTTTCCTCCTTCAAAATGAGAAATTCAGTAGAGAAAGTTCTTTGGTGTGAGGTCCTTTAAATTGCCTGAGGGACAGAAGCAGAAAGTACCTGTTGCTTAAACTTAGCAGCCCGCAGGTGTCACCTGGGACCCCTAACCCAGGCTCCCCGCACTACTGTTGTCACTGATCACCTGATTGCTCTGGCGGGGAAAGCACCCTGCCCGGAGGAAGAGAGGGCCCTACTGGCAGGCCTGCCCTGCTTTGCCTACTTTCACACCCACCTTGAGTGTCCTTGTATGTCCCTGGTGGAACTTCATGCTGTCACTTGGCCGGAAGCCCCTAACCTCAGGCACGTGTGCGTGCATAGGGTTTAGGTATGGTTTTTTGGTTTTTCTTCTGTTACAAAATTCTTGTCGTTTTTCTCTTCTTTTACCCAGACTATCCCCATCCATTCCCTGTTTTTGTTCTGTAGGGCAGAATAGTTGGACACACATCCGGTTTGTGCTGTGGCCATCTTGTTGGCATAGACTGTTTATTGCACACGGTATTTCTCTAGTTGTTATGTTTTCTCATCACTACAGTCAGACGTGGTTCTGAAATTTATTGGGAAGGATCTAAAATGTTTTGAAACCCAGTGTCTGTATCAGTCATGCAGAGCAGGGTCCGCTCCCAAAGCATATTCATTCCGTTGAGCCCTCCTGGAACTGCCCTCCCTTAGGGCACAGACAGAACCCAGGCTTCAGCAGGACCCGGCAGGCTGACCCCGGCTGCTCTGAGACCTTAGCCCCCGCCATCCCTCCTTGCCCACCATGGCGGTGGCCACACCATGGCGCACACTGTTGAGTGGCTCTGGGACAGTAGCGGATAGGGACAGCTTACCGAAATGCCATTTCTAGAAGTTGAAATTTGTCATAAAAGCTCTTAGGGGAGATGACTAGGGCAGGGCTAATGAGAAGACAGCTTATTTTCTCATCCTGTAAGCCCCAATGTGTGTTCTCAGGGAACCGTGCGTGGAAAACATGTTTGTTGACTCGGAAATGTACCAGGCACCAGATCTCGCTCCGACGACCGCACCTTAAGGTGACACAGGCCTGGTAGCACCATAGAGGATTTGGATACCAACATAGAGTTTCTGTTGAAGAAGTTGGTGTTTGTCTGCTAAGACACGGTTTCGTGTTCCTTATTTGAATAAGTACAGCTCCTTCGTTATCTAAATCCTCCTTTTTACCTGTTTAGTAAACACTGTTACCAAGTGTCAGTGTGTCCTGGTGAAGTCACCAGGTTTGCGGCAGTGTTCGCTTATAGCAGTCTTCAAGGCCGAGGACTGCTTAGTGACCTTAGAAAGCGAGTCAGTGGTGCAGATGCGATTCCAGGGTCAGCACGGGCTCCGCCTCCTGAGGCGGAAATCTGGTTCCCAGCCCACCACATGTGCCCTGCCCAGCTGTGTGTCAGGCCTCGTCACCTCTGGGTGAGCCTGTCCCAAAGCTTGACCGTCATGAGACCCCCCAGGCAGGACAGTGTGGAGACAGTTGTACGCTGTATGAATGTTGCCATGGGACACTGTGTTCGACATCCTTACCTGTTCGGAGGCACCTGGTTCTCGGTAAGCCGTTGGCACACAAGTCCTGAACCATGTTGTCCACACTTCACACGAGAACTGCTGTTGATCCCAGTCACTGCATCTCACACAGAGTCCCCGAAATGGGGACATGCTTGGTGTTTCCTTAGACTTGAGGGAAGCATGAACTCTGTGCCTTGAAGATGTTCTGGAATTGAGGTGTTTGTTTGCTTGTTTTTGAGAGAAAGAGGAGAGAAAGTGCATGCGAGCACATAAGCTGGGGAGGGACAGGAGGAGAGAGAGAGAGAATCCCAAGCAAGCTCCAGGCTCCAGAGCCCGATGCGGGGCTCGATTCCAAAACCCTGGGGTCATGACCCGAGCTGAAATCGGGAGTCGGACGCTGACCTGACTGAGCCTCCCAGGTGTCCCTATAATTGGAACTTTTTGATCATTGGGTGTAGTAGCTTTTTCTGACCTTGGCCACGTGAGTGAATATTCAGTTATATTTGTCTATTAAAGGAAGGAAACGCGAGCATCATTTCGTGTCCCGTACTGGGTCACCAAGTGTTCCTTCATCTGGGTGTTTAAGACGTCAAAAGTCCAGCCTCAGGCAATTTGACTTTTGGGGGGAAGCTGGATTCGCAAATGAATATAAAACAACCATTGTTCGTTTTTAGGGGCTTTCTTTTTAAATCTGAGAAAGTTAACTTTATATTCTAGGACTATAAGGAATTAGAAGTAAAGCTAACCCAGAATTATTTTAAAAATAAAAGAGAGCATTTCAGGGACTGGTTTTCCGGGTTCTGCTTCATCCTGCTGGTATGAGGCGTTCCGTGCAGGCCTCTTGGGTTCTGGCCAGGGAAGAGTGGTGGTGTGTCAGAGGGAAGACATTTTGTTTTAGCAAGCTGACAATTCTCCTTCAAATACTGATAAAAGTCACTGTCCGACCATGACTTAACCAGCCTCCTGTCTTTTGGGATGGTCCTTAGAAGCCTCCCGGGGCAGTGACCACTACCATGACCACATGTTCATGGTTCTGGAGAACAATGCATTGTGTGAACCTGGAGAAATTACTTCACCTCTCCTGGACCTTGGGTTCTCTTATCTGTTAGCCTAGGGAGTGGACTAGATGATTATCTGTGTCTCATCCAGCCTTGATGTGCTAGAAGTTGCTATTAAGTAACAAACCTACATTCACAGGTCCTAAATATCCAGCTTTCCACCCCCGAGCCCGATCTTGGGATGTGGCTAGAAACCCCATTTCCTTTGCACGTTTTTGCTCTTTTTAACAGAAAGGCAAAAACCAGAATCCTGCGTAATCCTTTAAAGGCTGAAAGTTGCTGAGCTGACAGTCTGACACTAAGAGCACAAACTCTGGTAAATGTTTTATTATTGGAGGCAGGAGGCTGGAAGTGGGGGCCAGGGCTCCAGGCGTCAAGGAGCTCATGGTTTCTCGAGGTTAGAGCAATGTGCGGCCCAGGGTGAGATGCGCAGGGGGTTTGGAGCTGGCGGGAGGGGC